ATTATTACCATCATTATCCTATTTTGGTTCATGTTTCATTGTAATTTGATTAAACTTTGTTCCCACGGCTACCTACTAGAATTAGACTCCTTAACATTTGATTTGAAGTATTAGCCCTGCATTGTTAATAATAAAACACGACTTGGGCTTCTTCTCTTTTCTACTTTTATATAATTGTTGCTAGTATCTAACAAACTCTATGTTCTTTTACTTCCTTTCATAATAATCATGATTGTTAATAAAGTGATATTAAAACAAATAACTGCCATGTCAACGATATGACTCAAACGACATGGCTTTGCTTTCTATGTTTTTAAGCCTACTTTTAATGCTCTTTATTGGATTTTTGCAGATCATTGATGGCCAGATGATAATGGATCAGAACTGCTCATGCTGCAAACCCGAGAGCGTCATCGAAGACGTCGTGGAGCTCGAATGCCCTGACGGGACAACGACAACGGTCAATGTCCCATTCATTCAAACATGCACTTGCAACGAAGTCGACTGCTAAACCTAACGATAAAACATCGCGGTAGAGCAAACACAACGTGATTTCAAAGACTCACTGGAAATGAACTTGAGGGCAATTTCACTATTACCTTACATTGCCTATTATGTCATTTTCATGTTCACACGATTCATAAGATGACGCATAAGTCTAATAAAAATTGCTTTCAGTTAATTCCTTGACAGTCTTCGCAATCATATACGCGTTGAAGTAGAAGACTTACATCCATATTGATGTGCGAGTGAAGATGTTACATTCCCATATAAAGGATTTCCCGGCCAAACTCGCGAGTTTGTCATTCAAAGGAATTTGTCTTGCGTTCAAATTCGACGGTTTTAGTGCAGTCAGGTATATCTCAGGTTAATATTCCCTTTTCTAGTTTTCAAATCTATGGAATTTTCGTTAGAATATACGTATGTTTCATTCAAATTAATGAAACAATGTGCTTCTTTTGCTATTTGGTCATTCGATTTGGCGCAACACGATTTTCAGACAACGCGACGGTGTACTTCTAGCAATCTAATTCATTTGTAGCATTCAAATTAGCACTTTGTGCACTTAAATTGATGGTCAATATACATTTCTCGTTTATTACACACTCTTTATAGCTCATTCTTTTTCTTTCAAGATTGTTTTTCATGTGTATTTCATCATATTTCATTCTCTTGCATTTATTCACGTATACTTTGAAACTCTTTAAGAAAAACAAAGGGGTGTGCTGGGTATAAGAGACGATGTGAATTACTTTTGTAAAATTCCGAGTCTGTAGTAAAAAGGGGCGATTGAGGGTACCCCCACCTTTCCCGGGTATATGAACATGTCCGTGCAGAAATGCCATATTCCTTGATTTCGCCCTTCTTTACTTTATGTCTGACTACACCCATCTGCATTGTCCTGAAAATAAAGAAATGGAATAACAGCTTAGACCACAATGGCAAATCATGCATTTTAACTGCATTATTTAAAAACAGTAAAAGTTTGTTGCAATTCTTCCCCCTAACATTCCTAACTTAAATAAAACTATTACGAATACGAATGACAGGTGTTAATTTAAATGATAAAAATTACGCTTCGACAAGTGAATATTAATTTGAATGCTAGTTGAGCAGTTTTTAAATTGAATGACGGACCTATGAAACCCTTCGACCAAAATCCTAAATTAAATACAAAAACTGGAAAATTGAATGATAATTGGCATGGCAAAGCCGATCTGCGCTAACTTAAATGCAAAGTAAATGAATTCGAATAACAAACACGCGAATTCGGCCGGGAAATCATATATTATTTACGTAATCCTAAATTCGATTCTAGTTTTAAAATGTGTTCATCAGTATGATGATATGATTTTAAGCGCTTTTGTCTGTGTTATTATGAGATATGGTAGCATGTAAACTGCTTTCTAAAGGAGGATGCAACTCGTCCGTCATTTCTACGGCTTTTGTAGATTTTGATTATGTTTTAGAATGTAATTTTCGCATTATTGGCTCTGCATTATCTATTTATTCCGTCCATTTTTGAAAATAAATATCTTTCAGTCGATATTTGTTTTACATAATCGTATAAGAACTGACCTAAGATCTAGTTACCTGAATTAACTGGGATAGTAGAAGGAATATAACCTAAATTTATCGAAAAGCGAGACCAGGCGCTGAGAGGTTAGATAGGGGGGGGGGGGGAGACACATTTCGATTTTCCTCGTAGTTCCCCCCCCCCCCCTCTCGAATTGTTAATGAGTAATACTGATTTACCCATTTAAAATGTTTACCTTCATATAGTCTAGAGAGAGTAAAGATATGTTAATGGGATGTTATAATTTCCATCCCCCAAAAGGTTCAAAATCATACTCGTAGACGTGTCACGTTTTAAGTTAAAAAATGATATTTTGAGTCAGCGTATTCAAGGGTATGTATATATACACTATTGCCCATAGCATTTAACATTTTTCTTTATCTCTTTTCAAGCGATTGTGAATCCGATTTATTCGTAATGAATTTTTCTCAATAGATAAAGTTTTTAACTTCTAAAGAACTCTTTTTATTAATAGGTGTGTAGTGATGGTTATTTTACCTGACTGCTAAGAAAGCATAAATGCTTGTTTCAATAACATCCAGAGGACCGACGGCTTTAGGTCCTCTCCGCGAGACCTGGTAATGAGGATTAATGCCTTTCCAAAGGACACTAGCACATCGCCTTGGTGTTGAACCCGGGTCGCCGTATTACGAGACCACAGCTCTACCAACTGAGCTATCGCGCCTCCCCATTTAAAGATTCATAGAGATTGATTGGCAAAGTTCTGAACAAAATATTACAACTATATAAGCAACAGTGTATTTATATATATATATATATATATACATAATGCGTATCAGGGAGTCATTTTTAAAGTATTGTGTGTATGTACATGTTTGTGATATAAATGCATTGTGTATGCAGAAAACTAATATCAAAATGTAACTTATGAAAGTAAAAATTCCTTTCAATCCCTTTAGAAAACTCCTGAATAATCATCAACTCAATATCAATTTCTTTGTGTGTAAGTGATATGAATTAAATCTTATGTTATAGAATATATATATATATATATATATACACATTAGGGTGTATGTATGCGTGCGTGTACGTGCGTGCGTGTGTTGTGTGTGTGTATCTGTTGGGAAGTACCAAAGGGGGAAGTAGAAGGACAAAGGTAATGACAAAGAAAAAAGAGAAGCCGATGTAAAAATGTACACAAGAAAAGTTTGCGGAGAAATAGCTGCTGAGTGAAATAATGAAATAATGAAGTTAAGCACGTGACATATTAATGTGGATTTTATCCGTTGATCGGATATAAGATTTTATGTAATACGAATGCCTGGTTATTATACTTATGGTAATGTAGCGTTTATTTTTGTTATTATTAATTAAAGTCATTAGAATACACCTTCGTTCTTTGCATGGTATGTTCTAATGCTTACTACATTAGTGGGTTCGCACTACTATGCAACATTGAGATCAAGAGAAATAGAGAGAGAGAGAGAGAGCGAATACGGAAAGATATACAAAAAGAGAGGTGTGGGCGGGGCCGAAAGGAGATCTTTGTGTAGAACTTCTTTATACTTTTTTTTTGGGGGGGGGGGGGGTATTGTTGAATATATAATATGTACCTGAATGTGAGTCATTTATCTTCACTAGTAATGTGCACTTTGCTATCGAGTGTTGTTATGTTTTAATATTGATATAATGAGCTTTATAGTTGAATGGGCTCGCTGTCCTATTTTTTGCCTTTTTAATCATCTTTAACTGTAAGTACGTTCCGTTGTCTACACATCGTCTCAAATAGCTACTGGATGTAAAACTGCGACATTTCTCAGTTAAGAGAGCAGAATTGTAGACTACAATAGTGTTTGTTAGCCGCGGTGTTACATTCGCTCAAGCGGTTTACAACAATATGCTAGTATCGAAGGTCGAAGGTCAGGTTTCTTATCAAAGATCGATATCTTGCGGTGTTCCTCAAGGATCTGTTATGGGTCTTCGTTATTTGTTATTTATAACAAAATGACTCCCAGTATTCTTTTGAAATCAGTTTTTAAATTATTTTTACTGACGATTCTGAAATATTCTATTAGCATCGAAACCTACATACCCTTCTAAACAAATAAAAATCAACACAATTTTGGCATCCACAGTGACATTGACCTGTCATAGAACGTACATATTATTTACTTTTGTAAATTATTTTTCTACAAAACACATGTATTAAAAAACAAATACTTGATTTCTTATCCAATATCATATTACCCTCAAGTTCTACGCAGATATAACCTTACCTAACTACGGTATCCTTACTTGGGGGGTAACGGAACGAAATTCGACTGAAAAGGATCCATTTGAATCTTTGCATGAGTCCAAACGTAATTGATTTGCATTTATGTGCTCTTCGTTATGAACAAATCATCCATTTACATCCGATGCCCACATAAATAATACTGATTTATTTGCATATTTCCAAAATTTTTTTTCTTCATGTGAATTGCATTGATTCCTTAAATCGGAAATAATAGAAGGAAGCTAAAGTAATGAAATATATTATATTACACCAAGTATTACAATACGCACACCACCAAAAACAACACCAGAAACAACTAAAGTATCAGAGCCGCCAACAACAGTATATTACGTGACCTTCTTGTTGTCAATAATATGTTAAGCTTCCAGAATACAAAGTAGTGTAATGGGAATGAATTTTTGGTATAATGCTAGAAGACGTGAAACCGTATCTGGATTGATAGAAATCAAATATAAAATATGGTACCTACTGTGGTGACACACAGACCTTATATTCATGTTCGTTTTTTATTATGAACATAGAATTTAAAGCTTGAAATTGTGTTTATCTTTAGGTTTTGGGGTTTAGGGAAAGACGAATGATAATAATATTCCCTTTGTGGACTTTTGCATATCTTAATAATCATAATTTGTACTCTATATATTTGTATTTCGTTATTTTGTCCAGAATGTGTTGAGAAGTATGTCAATTACTGCGTGTGGTATGGCTGGATTAACCAGAATTCCGGTCTTCAAATTGAGCAAGATGGAGATGAAGTGGAGCTACTAGAAGATGCTAAGCACATCCCAGGATTCCCTGATGATTGTGCTTTCCCCAAAGACGTGGAATGTCGAACGGCTGATACACACATCTTCTCCAATGAGACTGATGATGATGTGACATGCGACAAGAGTACAGGTCTCCTATGTAGAAACCATCCTAATATGCCTCGTTGCCGTGATTACGAAGTCAGGTACTTGTGTTGTGGTCGACACTACACAGTAACCTGTAGTACACCAGGTACAACACCTGAAACAACAACAGAAACGACCACAGCTACAACAACGGGAACAACAACAGGTACAACAACGAGAAAAACAACAAGTCCACCAACTGACACAACAACAGAAACGACCACAGCTACAACAACGGGAACAACAACAGGTACAACAACGAGAAAAACAACAAGTCCACCACCTGACACAACAACAGAAACGACCACAGCTACAACAACGGGAACAACACCGGAGACAACATCGGGAACGACTACAGGTTAGGTCAAGTGCTCATAATAAAAAAACAGGATGTACTTTCAACAAAACCTTGTTTAAGGGGATTCATTTGTTGGCATATTGCAAAAAACTATGAAACTGTTTTTGTGATAATAGAAATCATATATATATAATTACATTGTATACCGTGGTGATACACAGATCTTATATTCATAAGCGTTTTAAAGAGAATTTAACGCTTGAAATGAGAGTTTGTAACTTTTGGTTTGTGGGTTGAGGGAATATCAAACGATCATAATATTCCCTTTGTGGGTGTTGGCATATCTTAATACTTATAATTTGTACACTATATATTTGTATTTTGTTATTTTGTCCAGAATGTGTAGAGAAGTATGTCAATTACTGCGTGTGGTATGGCTGGATTAACCAGAATTCCGGCCTTCAACTTGAGCAAGATGGAGATGAAGTAGAGCTACTAGAAGATGCTAAGCACATCCCAGGATTCCCTGATGATTGTGCTTTCCCCAAAGACGTGGAATGTCGAACGGCTGAAACGCACATCTTCTCCAATGAGACTGATGATGATGTGACATGCGACAAGAGTACAGGTCTCCTTTGTAGAAACCATCCTAATATGCCTCGTTGCCCTGATTACGAAGTCAGGTACTTGTGTTGTGGTCGACACTACACGGTAACCTGTAGTACACCAGGTACAACACCTGAAACAACAACAGAAAGGACCACAGCTACAACAACGGGAACAACAACAGGTACAACAACGAGAAAAACAACAAGTCCACCACCTGACACAACAACAGAAACGACCACAGCTACAACAACGGGAACAACACCGGAGACAACATCGGGAACGACTACAGGTTAGGTCAAGTGCTCATAATAAAAAACAGGATGTACTTTCAACAAAACCTTGTTTAAGGGGATTCATTTGTTGGCATATTGCAAAAAACTATGAAACTGTTTTTGTGTTAATAGAAATCATATATATAATTACATTGTATACCGTGGTGATACACAGATCTTATATTCATAAGCGTTTTAAAGAGGATTTAACGCTTGAAATGAGAGTTTGTAACTTTTGGTTTGTGGGTTGAGGGAATATCAAACGATCATAATATTCCCTTTGTGGGTGTTGGCATATCTTAATACTTATAATTTGTACTCTATATATTTGTATTTTGTTATTTTGTCCAGAATGTGTTGAGAAGTATGTCAATTACTGCGTGTGGTATGGCTGGATTAACCAGAATTCCGGCCTTCAAATTGAGCAAGATGGAGATGAAGTAGAGCTACTAGAAGATGCTAAGCACATCCCAGGATTCCCTGATGATTGTGCTTTCCCCAAAGACGTGGAATGTCGAACGGCTGATACACACATCTTCTCCAATGAGACTGATGATGATGTGACATGCGACAAGAGTACAGGTCTCCTTTGTAGAAACCATCCTAATATGCCTCGTTGCCGTGATTACGAAGTCAGGTACTTGTGTTGTGGTCGACACTACACGGTAACCTGTAGTACACCAGGTACAACACCTGAAACAACAACAGAAACGACCACAGCTACAACAACAGGAACAACAACAGGTACAACAACGAGAAAAACAACAAGTCCACCACCTGACACAACAACAGAAACGACCACAGCTACAACAACGGGAACAACAACAGGTTCAACGACGAGAAAAACAACAAGTCCACCACCTGACACAACAACAGAAACGACCACAGCTACAACAACGGGAACAACAACAGGTACAACAACGAGAAAAACAACAAGTCCACCACCTGACACAACAACAGAAACGACCACAGCTACAACAACGGGAACAACACCGGAGACAACATCGGGAACGACTACAGGTTAGGTCAAGTGCTCATAATAAAAAACGGGATGTACTTTCAACAAAACCTTGTTTAAGGGGATTCATTTGTTGGCATATTGCAAAAAACTATGAAACTGTTTTTGTGTTGATAGAAATCATATATATAATTACATTGTATACCGTGGTGATACACAGATCTTATATTCATAAGCGTTTTAAAGAGAATTTAACGCTTGAAATGAGAGTTTGTAACTTTTGGTTTGTGGGTTGAGGGAAAATCAAACGATCATAATATTCCCTTTGTGGGTGTTGGCATATCTTAATACTTATAATTTGTACTCTATATATTTGTGTTTTGTTATTTTGTCCAGAATGTGTTGAGAAGTACGTCAATTACTGCGTGTGGTATGGCTGGATTAACCAGAATTCCGGCCTTCAAATTGAGCAAGATGGAGATGAAGTAGAGCTACTAGAAGATGCTAAGCACATCCCAGGATTCCCTGATGATTGTGCTTTCCCCAAAGACGTGGAATGTCGAACGGCTGATACACACATCTTCTCCAATGAGACTGATGATGATGTGACATGCGACAAGAGTACAGGTCTCCTTTGTAGAAACCATCCTAATATGCCTCGTTGCCCTGATTACGAAGTCAGGTACTTGTGTTGTGGTCGACACTACACGGTAACCTGTAGTACACCAGGTACAACACCTGAAACAACAACAGAAACGACCACAGCTACAACAACGGGAACAACAACAGGTACAACAACGAGAAAAACAACAAGTCCACCAACTGAAACAACAACAGAAACGACCACAGCTACAACAACGGGAACAACAACAGGTTCAACGACGAGAAAAACAACAAGTCCACCACCTGACACAACAACAGAAACGACCACAGCTACAACAACGGGAACAACACCGGAGACAACATCGGGAACGACTACAGGTTAGGTCAAGTGCTCATAATAAAAAACGGGATGTACTTTCAACAAAACCTTGTTTGAGGGGATTCATTTGTTGGTATATTGCAAAAAACTATGAAACTGTTTTTGTGTTGATAGAAATCATATATATAATTACATTGTATACCGTGGTGATACACAGATCTTATATTCATAAGCGTTTTAAAGAGAATTTAAAGCTTGAAATGAGAGTTTGTAACTTTTGGTTTGTGGGTTGAGGGAAAATCAAACGATCATAATATTCCCTTTGTGGGTGTTGGCATATCTTAATACTTATAATTTGTACTCTATATATTTGTGTTTTGTTATTTTGTCCAGAATGTGTTGAGAAGTACGTCAATTACTGCGTGTGGTATGGCTGGATTAACCAGAATTCCGGCCTTCAAATTGAGCAAGATGGAGATGAAGTAGAGCTACTAGAAGATGCTAAGCACATCCCAGGATTCCCTGATGATTGTGCTTTCCCCAAAGACGTGGAATGTCGAACGGCTGATACACACATCTTCTCCAATGAGACTGATGATGATGTGACATGCGACAAGAGTACAGGTCTCCTTTGTAGAAACCATCCTAATATGCCTCGTTGCCCTGATTACGAAGTCAGGTACTTGTGTTGTGGTCGACACTACACGGTAACCTGTAGTACACCAGGTACAACACCTGAAACAACGACAGAAACGACCACAGCTACAACAACGGGAACAACAACAGGTACAACAACGAGAAAAACAACAAGTCCACCACCTGACACAACAACAGAAACGACCACATCTACAACAACGGGAACAACAACAGGTACAACAACGAGAAAAACAACAAGTCCACCACCTGACACAACAACAGAAACGACCACAGCTACAACAACGGGAACAACACCGGAGACAACATCGGGAACGACTACAGGTTAGGTCAAGTGCTCATAATAAAAAACAGGATGTACTTTCAACAAAACCTTGTTTAAGGGGATTCATTTGTTGGCATATTGCAAAAAACTATGAAACTGTTTTTGTGTTGATAGAAATCATATATATAATTACATTGTATACCGTGGTGATACACAGATTTTATATTCATAAGCGTTTTAAAGAGAATTTAACGCATGAAATATGAGTTTGTAACTTTTGGTTTGTGGGTTGAGGGAATATCAAACGATCATAATATTCCCTTTGTGGGTGTTGGCATATCTTAAACTCATAATTTGTACTCTATATATTTGTATTTTGTTATTTTGTCCAGAATGTGTTGAGAAGTATGTCAATTACTGCGTGTGGTATGGCTGGATTAACCAGAATTCCGGCCTTCAAATTGAGCAAGATGGAGATGAAGTAGAGCTACTAGAAGATGCTAAGCACATCCCAGGATTCCCTGATGATTGTGCTTTCCCCAAAGACGTGGAATGTCGAACGGCTGATACGCACATCTTCTCCAATGAGACTGATGATGATGTGACATGCGACAAGAGTACAGGTCTCCTATGTAGAAACCATCCTAATATGCCTCGTTGCCCTGATTACGAAGTCAGGTACTTGTGTTGTGGTCGACACTACACGGTAACCTGTAGTACACCAGGTACAACACCTGAAACAACAACAGAAACGACCACAGCTACAACAACGGGAACAACAACAGGTACAACAACGAGAAAAACAACAAGTCCACCACTTGACACAACAACAGAAACGACCATAGCTACAACAACGGGAACAGTAACAGGTTCAACGACGAGAAAAACAACAAGTCCACCACCTGACACAACAACAGAAACGACCACAGCTACAACAACGGGAACAACAACAGGTACAACAACGAGAAAAACAACAAGTCCACCACCTGACACAACAACAGAAACGACCACAGCTACAACAACGGGAACAACACCGGAGACAACATCGGGAACGACTACAGGTTAGGTCAAGTGCTCATAATAAAAAACAGGATGTACTTTCAACAAAACCTTGTTTAAGGGGATTCATTTGTTGGCATATTGCAAAAAACTATGAAACTGTTTTTGTGTTGATAGAAATCATATATATAATTACATTGTATACCGTGGTGATACACAGATTTTATATTCATAAGCGTTTTAAAGAGAATTTAACGCATGAAATATGAGTTTGTAACTTTTGGTTTGTGGGTTGAGGGAATATCAAACGATCATAATATTCCCTTTGTGGGTGTTGGCATATCTTAAACTCATAATTTGTACTCTATATATTTGTATTTTGTTATTTTGTCCAGAATGTGTTGAGAAGTATGTCAATTACTGCGTGTGGTATGGCTGGATTAACCAGAATTCCGGCCTTCAAATTGAGCAAGATGGAGATGAAGTAGAGCTACTAGAAGATGCTAAGCACATCCCAGGATTCCCTGATGATTGTGCTTTCCCCAAAGACGTGGAATGTCGAACGGCTGATACGCACATCTTCTCCAATGAGACTGATGATGATGTGACATGCGACAAGAGTACAGGTCTCCTATGTAGAAACCATCCTAATATGCCTCGTTGCCCTGATTACGAAGTCAGGTACTTGTGTTGTGGTCGACACTACACGGTAACCTGTAGTACACCAGGTACAACACCTGAAACAACAACAGAAACGACCACAGCTACAACAACGGGAACAACAACAGGTACAACAACGAGAAAAACAACAAGTCCACCACTTGACACAACAACAGAAACGACCATAGCTACAACAACGGGAACAGTAACAGGTTCAACGACGAGAAAAACAACAAGTCCACCACCTGACACAACAACAGAAACGACCACAGCTACAACAACGGGAACAACAACAGGTACAACAACGAGAAAAACAACAAGTCCACCACCTGACACAACAACAGAAACGACCACAGCTACAACAACGGGAACAACACCGGAGACAACATCGGGAACGACTACAGGTTAGGTCAAGTGCTCATAATAAAAAACAGGATGTACTTTCAACAAAACCTTGTTTAAGGGGATTCATTTGTTGGCATATTGCAAAAAACTATGAAACTGTTTTTGTGTTGATAGAAATCATATATATAATTACATTGTATACCGTGGTGATACACAGATTTTATATTCATAAGCGTTTTAAAGAGAATTTAACGCATGAAATATGAGTTTGTAACTTTTGGTTTGTGGGTTGAGGGAATATCAAACGATCATAATATTCCCTTTGTGGGTGTTGGCATATCTTAAACTCATAATTTGTACTCTATATATTTGTATTTTGTTATTTTGTCCAGAATGTGTTGAAAAGTATGTCAATTACTGCGTGTGGTATGGCTGGATTAACCAGAATTCCGGCCTTCAAATTGAGCAAGATGGAGATGAAGTAGAGCTACTAGAAGATGCTAAGCACATCCCAGGATTCCCTGATGATTGTGCTTTCCCCAAAGACGTGGAATGTCGAACGGCTGATACGCACATCTTCTCCAATGAGACTGATGATGATGTGACATGCGACAAGAGTACAGGTCTCCTATGTAGAAACCATCCTAATATGCCTCGTTGCCCTGATTACGAAGTCAGGTACTTGTGTTGTGGTCGACACTACACGGTAACCTGTAGTACACCAGGTACAACACCTGAAACAACAACAGAAACGACCACAGCTACAACAACGGGAACAACAACAGGTACAACAACGAGAAAAACAACAAGTCCACCACTTGACACAACAACAGAAACGACCATAGCTACAACAACGGGAACAGTAACAGGTTCAACGACGAGAAAAACAACAAGTCCACCACCTGACACAACAACAGAAACGACCACAGCTACAACAACGGGAACAACAACAGGTACAACAACGAGAAAAACAACAAGTCCACCACCTGACACAACAACAGAAACGACCACAGCTACAACAACGGGAACAACACCGGAGACAACATCGGGAACGACTACAGGTTAGGTCAAGTGCTCATAATAAAAAACAGGATGTACTTTCAACAAAACCTTGTTTAAGGGGATTCATTTGTTGGCATATTGCAAAAAACTATGAAACTGTTTTTGTGTTGATAGAAATCATATATATAATTACATTGTATACCGTGGTGATACACAGATTTTATATTCATAAGCGTTTTAAAGAGAATTTAACGCATGAAATATGAGTTTGTAACTTTTGGTTTGTGGGTTGAGGGAATATCAAACGATCATAATATTCCCTTTGTGGGTGTTGGCATATCTTAAACTCATAATTTGTACTCTATATATTTGTATTTTGTTATTTTGTCCAGAATGTGTTGAAAAGTATGTCAATTACTGCGTGTGGTATGGCTGGATTAACCAGAATTCCGGCCTTCAAATTGAGCAAGATGGAGATGAAGTAGAGCTACTAGAAGATGCTAAGCACATCCCAGGATTCCCTGATGATTGTGCTTTCCCCAAAGACGTGGAATGTCGAACGGCTGATACGCACATCTTCTCCAATGAGACTGATGATGATGTGACATGCGACAAGAGTACAGGTCTCCTATGTAGAAACCATCCTAATATGCCTCGTTGCCCTGATTACGAAGTCAGGTACTTGTGTTGTGGTCGACACTACACGGTAACCTGTAGTACACCAGGTACAACACCTGAAACAACAACAGAAACGACCACAGCTACAACAACGGGAACAACAACAGGTACAACAACGAGAAAAACAACAAGTCCACCACTTGACACAACAACAGAAACGACCATAGCTACAACAACGGGAACAACAACAGGTTCAACGACGAGAAAAACAACAAGTCCACCACCTGACACAACAACAGAAACGACCACAGCTACAACAACGGGAACAACAACAGGTACAACAACGAGAAAAACAACAAGTCCACCACCTGACACAACAACAGAAACGACCACAGCTACAACAACGGGAACAACACCGGAGACAACATCGGGAACGACTACAGGTTAGGTCAAGTGCTCATAATAAAAAACGGGATGTACTTTCAACAAAACCTTGTTTAAGGGGATTCATTTGTTGGCATATTGCAAAAAACTATGAAACTGTTTTTGTGTTGATAGAAATCATATATATAATTACATTGTATACCGTAGTGATACACAGATCTTATATTCATAAGCGTTTTAAAGAGAATTTAACGCTTGAAATGAGAGTTTGTAACTTTTGGTTTGTGGGTTGAGGGAATATCAAACGATCATAATATTCCCTTTGTGGGTGTTGGCATATCTTAAACTCATAATTTGTACTCTATATATTTGTATTTTGTTATTTTGTCCAGAATGTGTTGAGAAGTATGTCAATTACTGCGTGTGGTATGGCTGGATTAACCAGAATTCCGGTCTTCAAATTGAGCAAGATGGAGATGAAGTAGAGCTACTAGAAGATGCTAAGCACATCCCAGGATTCCCTGATGATTGTGCTTTCCCCAAAGACGTGGAATGTCGAACGGCTGATACACACATCTTCTCCAATGAGACTGATGATGATGTGACATGCGACAAGAGTACAGGTCTCCTTTGTAGAAACCATCCTAATATGCCTCGTTGCCCTGATTACGAAGTCAGGTACTTGTGTTGTGGTCGACACTACACGGTAACCTGTAGTACACCAGGTACAACACCTGAAACAACAACAGAAACGACCACAGCTACAACAACGGGAACAACAACAGGTTCAACGACGAGAAAAACAACAAGTCCACCACCTGACACAACAACAGAAACGACCACAGCTACAACAACGGGAACAACAACAGGTACAACAACGAGAAAAACAACAAGTCCACCACCTGACACAACAACAGAAACGACCACAGCTACAACAACGGGAACAACACCGGAGACAACATCGGGAACGACTACAGGTTAGGTCAAGTGCTCATAATAAAAAACAGGATGTACTTTCAACAAACCTTGTTTAAGGGGATTCATTTGTTGGCATATTGCAAAAAACTATGAAACTGTTTTTGTGTTGATAGAAATCATATATATAATTACATTGTATACCGTGGTGATACACAGATCTTATATTCATAAGCGTTTTAAAGAGAATTTAACGCTTGAAATGAGAGTTTGTAACTTTTGGTTTGGGGTTGAGGGAAAATCAAACGATCATAATATTCCCTTTGTGGGTGTTGGCATATCTTAATACTTATAATTTGTACTCTATATATTTGTGTTTTGTTATTTTGTCCAGAATGTGTTGAGAAGTACGTCAATTACTGCGTGTGGTATGGCTGGATTAACCAGAATTCCGGCCTTCAAATTGAGCAAGATGGAGATGAAGTAGAGCTACTAGAAGATGCTAAGCACATCCCAGGATTCCCTGATGATTGTGCTTTCCCCAAAGACGTGGAATGTCGAACGGCTGATACGCACATCTTCTCCAATGAGACTGATGATGATGTGACATGCGACAAGAGTACAGGTCTCCTATGTAGAAACCATCCTAATATGCCTCGTTGCCCTGATTACGAAGTCAGGTACTTGTGTTGTGGTCGACACTACACGGTAACCTGTAGTACACCAGGTACAACACCTGAAACAACAACAGAAACGACCACAGCTACAACAACGGGAACAACAACAGGTACAACAACGAGAAAAACAACAAGTCCACCACCTGACACAACAACAGAAACGACCACAGCTACAACAACGGGAACAACAACAGGTTCAACGACGAGAAAAACAACAAGTCCACCACCTGACACAACAACAGAAACGACCACAGCTACAACAACGGGAACAACAACAGGTACAACAACGAGAAAAACAACAAGTCCACCACCTGACACAACAACAGAAACGACCACAGCTACAACAACGGGAACAACACCGGATACAACATCGGGAACGACTACAGGTTAGGTCAAGTGCTCATAATAAAAAACGGGATGTACTTTCAACAAAACCTTGTTTAAGGGGATTCATTTGTTGGCATATTGCAAAAAACTATGAAACTGTTTTTGTGTTGATAGAAATCATATATATAATTACATTGTATACCGTGGTGATACACAGATCTTATATTCATAAGCGTTTTAAAGAGAATTTAACGCTTGAAATGAGAGTTTGTAACTTTGGGTTTGTGGGTTGAGGGAAAATCAAACGATCATAATATTCCCTTTGTGGGTGTTGGCATATCTTAATACTTATAATTTGTACTCTATATATTTGTGTTTTGTTATTTTGTCCAGAATGTGTTGAGAAGTACGTCAATTACTGCGTGTGGTATGGCTGGATTAACCAGAATTCCGGCCTTCAAATTGAGCAAGATGGAGATGAAGTAGAGCTACTAGAAGATGCTAAGCACATCCCAGGATTCCCTGATGATTGTGCTTTCCCCAAAGACGTGGAATGTCGAACGGCTGATACGCACACCTTCTCCAATGAGACTGATGATGATGTGACATGCGACAAGAGTACAGGTCTCCTATGTAGAAACCATCCTAATATGCCTCGTTGCCCTGATTACGAAGTCAGGTACTTGTGTTGTGGTCGACACTACACGGTAACCTGTAGTACACCAGGTACAACACCTGAAACAACAACAGAAACGACCACAGCTACAACAACGGGAACAACAACAGGTACAACAACGAGAAAAACAACAAGTCCACCACCTGACACAACAACAGAAACGACCACAGCTACAACAACGGGAACAACAACAGGTTCAACGACGAGAAAAACAACAAGTCCACCACCTGACACAACAACAGAAACGACCACAGCTACAACAACGGGAACAACAACAGGTACAACAACGAGAAAAACAACAAGTCCACCACCTGACACAACAACAGAAACGACCACAGCTACAACAACGGGAACAACACCGGATACAACATCGGGAACGACTACAGGTTAGGTCAAGTGCTCATAATAAAAAACGGGATGTACTTTCAACAAAACCTTGTTTAAGGGGATTCATTTGTTGGCATATTGCAAAAAACTATGAAACTGTTTTTGTGTTGATAGAAATCATATATATAATTACATTGTATACCGTGGTGATACACAGATCTTATATTCATAAGCGTTTTAAAGAGAATTTAACGCTTGAAATGAGAGTTTGTAACTTTGGGTTTGTGGGTTGAGGGAAAATCAAACGATCATAATATTCCCTTTGTGGGTGTTGGCATATCTTAATACTTATAATTTGTACTCTATATATTTGTGTTTTGTTATTTTGTCCAGAATGTGTTGAGAAGTACGTCAATTACTGCGTGTGGTATGGCTGGATTAACCAGAATTCCGGCCTTCAAATTGAGCAAGATGGAGATGAAGTAGAGCTACTAGAAGATGCTAAGCACATCCCAGGATTCCCTGATGATTGTGCTTTCCCCAAAGACGTGGAATGTCGAACGGCTGATACGCACACCTTCTCCAATGAGACTGATGATGATGTGACATGCGACAAGAGTACAGGTCTCCTATGTAGAAACCATCCTAATATGCCTCGTTGCCCTGATTACGAAGTCAGGTACTTGTGTTGTGGTCGACACTACACGGTAACCTGTAGTACACCAGGTACAACACCTGAAACAACAACAGAAACGACCACAGCTACAACAACGGGAACAACAACAGGTACAACAACGAGAAAAACAACAAGTCCACCACCTGACACAACAACAGAAACGACCACAGCTACAACAACGGGAACAACAACAGGTTCAACGACGAGAAAAACAACAAGTCCACCACCTGACACAACAACAGAAACGACCACAGCTACAACAACGGGAACAACAACAGGTACAACAACGAGAAAAACAACAAGTCCACCACCTGACACAACAACAGAAACGACCACAGCTACAACAACGGGAACAACACCGGAGACAACATCGGGAACGACTACAGGTTAGGTCAAGTGCTCATAATAAAAAACAGGATGTACTTTCAACAAACCTTGTTTAAGGGGATTCATTTGTTGGCATATTGCAAAAAACTATGAAACTGTTTTTGTGTTGATAGAAATCATATATATAATTACATTGTATACCGTGGTGATACACAGATCTTATATTCATAAGCGTTTTAAAGAGAATTTAACGCTTGAAATGAGAGTTTGTAACTTTTGGTTTGGGGTTGAGGGAAAATCAAACGATCATAATATTCCCTTTGTGGGTGTTGGCATATCTTAATACTTATAATTTGTACTCTATATATTTGTGTTTTGTTATTTTGTCCAGAATGTGTTGAGAAGTACGTCAATTACTGCGTGTGGTATGGCTGGATTAACCAGAATTCCGGCCTTCAAATTGAGCAAGATGGAGATGAAGTAGAGCTACTAGAAGATGCTAAGCACATCCCAGGATTCCCTGATGATTGTGCTTTCCCCAAAGACGTGGAATGTCGAACGGCTGATACGCACATCTTCTCCAATGAGACTGATGATGATGTGACATGCGACAAGAGTACAGGTCTCCTATGTAGAAACCATCCTAATATGCCTCGTTGCCCTGATTACGAAGTCAGGTACTTGTGTTGTGGTCGACACTACACGGTAACCTGTAGTACACCAGGTACAACACCTGAAACAACAACAGAAACGACCACAGCTACAACAACGGGAACAACAACAGGTACAACAACGAGAAAAACAACAAGTCCACCACCTGACACAACAACAGAAACGACCACAGCTACAACAACGGGAACAACAACAGGTTCAACGACGAGAAAAACAACAAGTCCACCACCTGACACAACAACAGAAACGACCACAGCTACAACAACGGGAACAACAACAGGTACAACAACGAGAAAAACAACAAGTCCACCACCTGACACAACAACAGAAACGACCACAGCTACAACAACGGGAACAACACCGGAGACAACATCGGGAACGACTACAGGTTAGGTCAAGTGCTCATAATAAAAAACAGGATGTACTTTCAACAAACCTTGTTTAAGGGGATTCATTTGTTGGCATATTGCAAAAAACTATGAAACTGTTTTTGTGTTGATAGAAATCATATATATAATTACATTGTATACCGTGGTGATACACAGATCTTATATTCATAAGCGTTTTAAAGAGAATTTAACGCTTGAAATGAGAGTTTGTAACTTTTGGTTTGGGGTTGAGGGAAAATCAAACGATCATAATATTCCCTTTGTGGGTGTTGGCATATCTTAATACTTATAATTTGTACTCTATATATTTGTGTTTTGTTATTTTGTCCAGAATGTGTTGAGAAGTACGTCAATTACTGCGTGTGGTATGGCTGGATTAACCAGAATTCCGGCCTTCAAATTGAGCAAGATGGAGATGAAGTAGAGCTACTAGAAGATGCTAAGCACATCCCAGGATTCCCTGATGATTGTGCTTTCCCCAAAGACGTGGAATGTCGAACGGCTGATACGCACATCTTCTCCAATGAGACTGATGATGATGTGACATGCGACAAGAGTACAGGTCTCCTATGTAGAAACCATCCTAATATGCCTCGTTGCCCTGATTACGAAGTCAGGTACTTGTGTTGTGGTCGACACTACACGGTAACCTGTAGTACACCAGGTACAACACCTGAAACAACAACAGAAACGACCACAGCTACAACAACGGGAACAACAACAGGTACAACAACGAGAAAAACAACAAGTCCACCACCTGACACAACAACAGAAACGACCACAGCTACAACAACGGGAACAACAACAGGTTCAACGACGAGAAAAACAACAAGTCCACCACCTGACACAACAACAGAAACGACCACAGCTACAACAACGGGAACAACAACAGGTACAACAACGAGAAAAACAACAAGTCCACCACCTGACACAACAACAGAAACGACCACAGCTACAACAACGGGAACAACACCGGAGACAACATCGGGAACGACTACAGGTTAGGTCAAGTGCTCATAATAAAAAACGGGATGTACTTTCAACAAAACCTTGTTTAAGGGGATTCATTTGTTGGCATATTGCAAAAAACTATGAAACTGTTTTTGTGTTGATAGAAATCATATATATAATTACATTGTATACCGTGGTGATACACAGATCTTATATTCATAAGCGTTTTAAAGAGAATTTAACGCTTGAAATGAGAGTTTGTAACTTTTGGTTTGTGGGTTGAGGGAAAATCAAACGATCATAATATTCCCTTTGTGGGTGTTGGCATATCTTAATACTTATAATTTGTACTCTATATATTTGTGTTTTGTTATTTTGTCCAGAATGTGTTGAGAAGTACGTCAATTACTGCGTGTGGTATGGCTGGATTAACCAGAATTCCGGCCTTCAAATTGAGCAAGATGGAGATGAAGTAGAGCTACTAGAAGATGCTAAGCACATCCCAGGATTCCCTGATGATTGTGCTTTCCCCAAAGACGTGGAATGTCGAACGGCTGATACGCACACCTTCTCCAATGAGACTGATGATGATGTGACATGCGACAAGAGTACAGGTCTCCTATGTAGAAACCATCCTAATATGCCTCGTTGCCCTGATTACGAAGTCAGGTACTTGTGTTGTGGTCGACACTACACGGTAACCTGTAGTACACCAGGTACAACACCTGAAACAACAACAGAAACGACCACAGCTACAACAACGGGAACAACAACAGGTACAACAACGAGAAAAACAACAAGTCCACCACCTGACACAACAACAGAAACGACCACAGCTACAACAACGGGAACAACAACAGGTTCAACGACGAGAAAAACAACAAGTCCACCACCTGACACAACAACAGAAACGACCACAGCTACAACAACGGGAACAACAACAGGTACAACAACGAGAAAAACAACAAGTCCACCACCTGACACAACAACAGAAACGACCACAGCTACAACAACGGGAACAACACCGGAGACAACATCGGGAACGACTACAGGTTAGGTCAAGTGCTCATAATAAAAAACAGGATGTACTTTTAACAAAACCTTGTTTAAGGGGATTCATTTGTTGGCATATTGCAAAAAACTATGAAACTGTTTTTGTGTTGATAGAAATCATATATATAATTACATTGTATACCGTGGTGATACACAGATCTTATATTCATAAGCGTTTTAAAGAGAATTTAACGCTTGAAATGAGAGTTTGTAACTTTTGGTTTGTGGGTTGAGGGAAAATCAAACGATCATAATATTCCCTTTGTGGGTGTTGGCATATCTTAATACTTATAATTTGTACTCTATATATTTGTGTTTTGTTATTTTGTCCAGAATGTGTTGAGAAGTACGTCAATTACTGCGTGTGGTATGGCTGGATTAACCAGAATTCCGGCCTTCAAATTGAGCAAGATGGAGATGAAGTAGAGCTACTAGAAGATGCTAAGCACATCCCAGGATTCCCTGATGATTGTGCTTTCCCCAAAGACGTGGAATGTCGAACGGCTGATACGCACATCTTCTCCAATGAGACTGATGATGATGTGACATGCGACAAGAGTACAGGTCTCCTATGTAGAAACCATCCTAATATGCCTCGTTGCCCTGATTACGAAGTCAGGTACTTGTGTTGTGGTCGACACTACACGGTAACCTGTAGTACACCAGGTACAACACCTGAAACAACAACAGAAACGACCACAGCTACAACAACGGGAACAACAACAGGTACAACAACGAGAAAAACAACAAGTCCACCACCTGACACAACAACAGAAACGACCACAGCTACAACAACGGGAACAACAACAGGTTCAACAACGAGAAAAACAACAAGTCCACCAACTGAAACAACGACAGAAACGACCACAGCTACAACAACGGGAACAACAACAGGTTCAACGACGAGAAAAACAACAAGTCCACCACCTGACACAACAACAGAAACGACCACATCTACAACAACGGGAACAACAACAGGTACAACAACGAGAAAAACAACAAGTCCACCACCTGACACAACAACAGAAACGACCACAGCTACAACAACGGGAACAACACCGGAGACAACATCGGGAACGACTACAGGTTAGGTCAAGTGCTCATAATAAAAAACAGGATGTACTTTCAACAAAACCTTGTTTAAGGGGATTCATTTGTTGGCATATTGCAAAAAACTATGAAACTGTTTTTGTGTTGATAGAAATCATATATATAATTACATTGTATACCGTGGTGATACACAGATTTTATATTCATAAGCGTTTTAAAGAGAATTTTACGCATGAAATATGAGTTTGTAACTTTTGGTTTGTGGGTTGAGGGAATATCAAACGATCATAATATTCCCTTTGTGGGTGTTGGCATATCTTAAACTCATAATTTGTACTCTATATATTTGTATTTTGTTATTTTGTCCAGAATGTGTTGAGAAGTATGTCAATTACTGCGTGTGGTATGGCTGGATTAACCAGAATTCCGGCCTTCAAATTGAGCAAGATGGAGATGAAGTAGAGCTACTAGAAGATGCTAAGCACATCCCAGGATTCCCTGATGATTGTGCTTTCCCCAAAGACGTGGAATGTCGAACGGCTGATACGCACATCTTCTCCAATGAGACTGATGATGATGTGACATGCGACAAGAGTACAGGTCTCCTATGTAGAAACCATCCTAATATGCCTCGTTGCCCTGATTACGAAGTCAGGTACTTGTGTTGTGGTCGACACTACACGGTAACCTGTAGTACACCAGGTACAACACCTGAAACAACAACAGAAACGACCACAGCTACAACAACGGGAACAACAACAGGTACAACAACGAGAAAAACAACAAGTCCACCACTTGACACAACAACAGAAACGACCATAGCTACAACAACGGGAACAACAACAGGTTCAACGACGAGAAAAACAACAAGTCCACCACCTGACACAACAACAGAAACGACCACAGCTACAACAACGGGAACAACAACAGGTACAACAACGAGAAAAACAACAAGTCCACCACCTGACACAACAACAGAAACGACCACAGCTACAACAACGGGAACAACACCGGAGACAACATCGGGAACGACTACAGGTTAGGTCAAGTGCTCATAATAAAAAACGGGATGTACTTTCAACAAAACCTTGTTTAAGGGGATTCATTTGTTGGCATATTGCAAAAAACTATGAAACTGTTTTTGTGTTGATAGAAATCATATATATAATTACATTGTATACCGTGGTGATACACAGATCTTATATTCATAAGCGTTTTAAAGAGAATTTAACGCTTGAAATGAGAGTTTGTAACTTTTGGTTTGTGGGTTGAGGGAAAATCAAACGATCATAATATTCCCTTTGTGGGTGTTGGCATATCTTAATACTTATAATTTGTACTCTATATATTTGTGTTTTGTTATTTTGTCCAGAATGTGTTGAGAAGTACGTCAATTACTGCGTGTGGTATGGCTGGATTAACCAGAATTCCGGCCTTCAAATTGAGCAAGATGGAGATGAAGTAGAGCTACTAGAAGATGCTAAGCACATCCCAGGATTCCCTGATGATTGTGCTTTCCCCAAAGACGTGGAATGTCGAACGGCTGATACGCACATCTTCTCCAATGAGACTGATGATGATGTGACATGCGACAAGAGTACAGGTCTCCTATGTAGAAACCATCCTAATATGCCTCGTTGCCCTGATTACGAAGTCAGGTACTTGTGTTGTGGTCGACACTACACGGTAACCTGTAGTACACCAGGTACAACACCTGAAACAACAACAGAAACGACCACAGCTACAACAACGGGAACAACAACAGGTTCAACGACGAGAAAAACAACAAGTCCACCACCTGACACAACAACAGAAACGACCACAGCTACAACAACGGGAACAACAACAGGTACAACAACGAGAAAAACAACAAGTCCACCACCTGACACAACAACAGAAACGACCACAGCTACAACAACGGGAACAACACCGGAGACAACATCGGGAACGACTACAGGTTAGGTCAAGTGCTCATAATAAAAAACGGGATGTACTTTCAACAAAACCTTGTTTAAGGGGATTCATTTGTTGGCATATTGCAAAAAACTATGAAACTGTTTTTGTGTTGATAGAAATCATATATATAATTACATTGTATACCGTGGTGATACACAGATCTTATATTCATAAGCGTTTTAAAGAGAATTTAACGCTTGAAATGAGAGTTTGTAACTTTTGGTTTGTGGGTTGAGGGAAAATCAAACGATCATAATATTCCCTTTGTGGGTGTTGGCATATCTTAATACTTATAATTTGTACTCTATATATTTGTGTTTTGTTATTTTGTCCAGAATGTGTTGAGAAGTACGTCAATTACTGCGTGTGGTATGGCTGGATTAACCAGAATTCCGGCCTTCAAATTGAGCAAGATGGAGATGAAGTAGAGCTACTAGAAGATGCTAAGCACATCCCAGGATTCCCTGATGATTGTGCTTTCCCCAAAGACGTGGAATGTCGAACGGCTGATACGCACACCTTCTCCAATGAGACTGATGATGATGTGACATGCGACAAGAGTACAGGTCTCCTATGTAGAAACCATCCTAATATGCCTCGTTGCCCTGATTACGAAGTCAGGTACTTGTGTTGTGGTCGACACTACACGGTAACCTGTAGTACACCAGGTACAACACCTGAAACAACAACAGAAACGACCACAGCTACAACAACGGGAACAACAACAGGTACAACAACGAGAAAAACAACAAGTCCACCAACTGAAACAACAACAGAAACGACCACAGCTACAACAACAGGAACAACAACAGGTACAACAACGAGAAAAACAACAAGTCCACCACCTGACACAACAACACAAACGACCACAGCTACAACAACGGGAACAACACAGGAGACAACATCGGGAACGACTACAGGTTAGGTCAAGTGCTCATAATAAAAAACAGGATGTACTTTCAACAAAACCTTGTTTAAGGGGATTCATTTGTTGGTATATTGCAAAAAACTATGAAACTGTTTTTGTGTTGATAGAAATCATATATATAATTACATTGTATACCGTGGTGATACACAGATCTTATATTCATAAGCGTTTTAAAGAGAATTTAACGCATGAAATATGAGTTTGTAACTTTTGGTTTGTGGGTTGAGGGAATATCAAACGATCATAATATTCCCTTTGTGGGTGTTGGCATATCTTAAACTCATAATTTTTGAGTATATTATTGAATATAGATTTATAGTTTAATATTAATGAGTATAACATTTAATTTTCCCCTTTTGAGGTTTAGAGTAATATATTTTCTTAAAATGACAACAAGGAAAACAAAATTATACTGCTGTTCTTTGAGAGAATTATTGTAAGAAGAGAATCAATTTCCGTGAGGCTGACTGATCACATATCGCAGAGAAAGTGCTAAGTATCAACTATTGCAGATATATTTTGTGATGGATTTAGATAGGTGTTACTCTGAAATTATTTGATTTGATTATGTTGGTACAGCAAAAAAAAAAAGCTGGGCCTATAGTAAAAGGCCTCAATATTCTCTGTATTCAAAAGTTATTCTTCTCTCCTTCTCTCTTTCTGTCATTGGTAAGTTATGCCACGAAAACGTTTCCCGGTATAAATTAACGGATGTAATTATAATTTTTCTTTTAAACTCCCGCAAATGACAACACGACACCTGACTGTACAACTCGAATACCAAAATAACCGCTACTACTGAAGAAGGTAAGCATGACGAGTGAGTCTCATACCGCAGTCACAACAAGGAGCCCGACAACAAACCGATCAAAATATTTCATTATACCGAATGGAAAATAATCGGTTTGGCGGTGTGGGGTATAACCTATTCAGTTGATAATTATATTCGTTTCCATAAGAACAGGTTTGTTATTTTTTCAATCGTTCAAAACTATCTTATCAATAACGGAAACAGGTTAGTATAGGCGCAAGGTTCCCTAGATTCTACACAAAATTCCAATAGACTAATATGACGGGAATGAGAATTAAACAAAGCAACATAAAGAGTTGGAAACGTTATATTCCTATCATTACAACGATATATCTACATAGAACAAACAGGAAATAAGTAAATCATCATTCCCTCCGTACTGTATTGATTCACTTCGTCAAACGCATGTGCATACGTGTCTTATATCCCCTCTATAGACTCTGCACACAAGAGAGATGCATATGCTATTATCTTGTTATGTATATGCTTGTCATATCTTCATAATCATATTGATAATTTGCAATCTATAATTTCATTTATTATTTTTTTATCCAGAATGTGTTGAGAAGTATGTCAATTACTGCGTGTGGTACGGATGGATCAACCAGAATTCCGGTCTTCAAATTGAGCAAGATGGAGATGAAGTAGAGCTACTTGAAGATGCTAAGCACGTCCCTGGATTCCCTGCTGATTGTGCTTTCCCCAAAGACGTGGAATGTCGAACGGCTGATACGCACATCTTCTCCAATGAGACTGATGATGATGTGACATGCGACAAGAGTACAGGTCTCCTATGTAGAAACCATCCTAATATGCCTCGTTGCCCTGATTACGAAGTCAGGTACTTGTGTTGTGGTCGACACTACACAGTAACCTGTAGTACACCAGGTACAACACCTGAAACAACACCAGGAACTACACCAGGTACAACACCAGGAACTACACCACGTACAACACCGGGTACCACACCTGAACCAACACCAGACACTACACCATTTATAACACATTGGCACACACCTTCAACATCACCAGGAACTACACCAGGTACAACACCGGAAACAACAACAGGCACTACAACACGCAGCACTACACTACCTGATCACACACCTTCATCATCACCAGGAACTACGCCAGGTACAACACCGGTTACAACACCTGAAACAACACCAGGTTAGGTCAAGTCTTGTTTGCGGTTTAAAGCTAGATACCGTATTGTATTTCTAAGGATTTGGGTTCTCTAGACGTCATTTTGTTATTGCCTCTGTAAGCTGCTTTGAAAATTTGTCACATCTAATATAAGTCTTCTCCAATGCCAATCAGCAACTGATTACCAAATAAATTAGGCGAAGCATTATTGAATATAGATTTATAGTTTAATATTAATGAATATTACATTTAATTTTCCCAATTTGAGGTTTAGAGTAATATATTTTCTTAAAATGACAACAAGGAAAACAAAATTATACTGCTGTTCTTTAAAAAAATTATTGTAAGAAAACAATCAAATACTGTGAGGCTAACTGATCATATATCGCAGAGAAAGAGACTAAGTATCAACTATTGCAGATATATTTTGTGATGGATTTAGATAGGTGTTACTCTGAAATTACTTGATTTGATTATGTTGGTACAGCAACAAAAAAAGCTGGGCCTACGGGAAAAGACCTCAATATCTTCTGTATGCAAAAGTTATCTTTCTCTCTGCCTTTCTCTCTCTGTCTTTGGTATGTTATGCCACGAAAACGTATCCCTCTTAGAAATTAACGTATATGTTGATCATTTTTCTTCCAAACTTCTGCAAACGTACAACACGACGCCTGACTGTACAACTCGAATACCCTAATAACCGCTAAAGGTACAACTACTGAAGAAGGTAGGCATGACTGCAGCGTAATACCGCAGTCACAACAAGGAGCCCGACAACAAACCGATCAAAATATTTCATATTACCGAATTGAAGAAAAAAAAACTGTTGGTTTGGGACCGGGAATCGGTTAGGCGTTGTGACTTGGGTATTCCATATTAAGTTGATAATTATAATCGTTTCCATAGGAATAGGCTTTTTATAATTCATTCAAAGGTTTATTATTAATTACGGGAACAGGTTAGCATTGGAGCGAGTTCCCCTAGATTCTATACATAGTTCTATTAGAATGATATCACGGGAAAGAGAATTAAACAAACGACATAAAGAGCTATAGAAATGTCATATTCCTATAATTACGACGATATATCTACATAGAACACATATGAAAGTAGTAAACCTTTATTCAGAGGCAGGCGCGTACGCAGGCGCGTACGCAGGGGGTGGTTTTGGGGTTAACCCCCCCCCCCTCGAGTTTTTTTTATGTGTTTGTTTTATGTATGTTTTTTTGGAAACCCCCCCCCCCCCCCTTTTGATTTTAAAACTCCCCCTTGAAAAAAATCCTGCGTACGCCACTGTTCAGAGGACATACTCTGATAATCTGTAAAACTGTCCAAAAGAAATAATAAAGTTCACAAATTAGCATATGTCTGTAGCAGAATTAATTCACCCTTTTATTTAACTATGATACTTACCCTCGTACACACTTTTCAATTGTTCCCCCAGTGTGCGTACCTCAGTGGTTCAACTATTGCATTTGGACTCCCTGGTATGACGATGAGTTCGGCACGGTAAAGTCGGCCTACGCCCCAGCTCAAGAAGTTGAACTTCTTGCAGACGCCCAGCACTTCCCAGACTTTCCCGACGGCTGCTCCAGACCGCGTGACATCGAGTGCATGACCGTAGACACAGAAGAGTTCTCGAACGAAACCGCGGACGCCTCTACCTGCGATGTGAGTACGGGTCTGAGCTGTGCCAACCGACCGGGGACACCGCTATGTGCTGACTACAAAGTGCGTTACTTCTGCTGCTCAAGACGATACACAGTCACATGCTCGACGCCCCAGCCACCCGAGACTACTACTGTAGTACAAACGACAACTCCTCAATCCACAACCGAAGGTAATCATGGCGCCCATTTTGTTTCGTTTAAGTCACTCCAGACAGAAGGCCTAAGGGACCGGTCCAATATATCGCCGATAACGAATATTAAATCAATTTGGTTTCTTAGTTTGTTTCACCCGAATTCTAAGAAAAATATGTTTGGTTGTACTTAGGCCTACGTACGTCAGCAAACAAGGGACCGACGCACACACACACACACTCACTTCCTCTCACTATCTTTCTCTCTATCTTTCTGTCCTTTTAAATCGGCATATATTGTAATCTCGCTTGCAAATTCGTACATTATTCATTGCTACTATAATTGTATGTTTGAAAATAAAACTCAATACTATGAGTCTGACGTAACTAATCATTGGGCATTCATGCTACCAACATTGTATAGCATGCCTTTCCATTTCAATGAATTTAGGTCATCAATGATCCATTATTTATTCATCACTACAGTTCTCGTTTGGTTGATGTCTGTTTGATGTACAAATCTATTATATTATTTTATGTCGACCATGTGTACACTTAACCCAAACGAACTCATCAATAACACCCAATCACTTTTCTATTCGAGCTTTCACCAAGTTTATCTTCTATCTGCATTTAACCATGAACAAATAATGACAGAATGCCATATTGAAGAGATCTGTGAATGGACTGAGTGGTGCGACGACGAGGAGGGTGGCGGAAAAGTGACCCCTTTCGATGTCGGCGAGTTCGAGATCAAAGAAGACTGCAAAGAGAACTTCGAAATCTGCGAGGCACCGAAGGACATCGAGTGCGAGATGACTGCTAACCCTCACCTCAGTGCCGCCATCCTGAGTCAGGACGTCACCTGCGATGTCGATTATGGGTTGGTCTGTCTCCACTCGGACACGCAGCCAATATGCCTCGATTACCGTATCAGGTAACGGAAGGGTCTTGTTAGTAATAGTAATGTCAGTATTATAGTTCTTGTAACCATTGTTAATATTGTCGATATTATTATTATCATTGTCATTATTATATTTGTTATCATCATTATAATTATTATTTTCATTATTATAATATTTTTGTTATCATTTATTGATACTATTATCATCATCGCCATTATCTCATCTTCACATATAAAGTTAGTCGTACTTGTATAGTAGTAGTTGTGGTGGTGTTCAAGTGGTAGGTATTTTGGATGGGTGTATCTGGGAGGGCAAAAGCTACATTTTGGGAACACGCATGGTATCCCTCCTTTCTCGGAGTGTGTGTGTGGGGGGGGGGGGGGTGGCCGGGCTTCAGGTATAAGTCTGGGTTGGATTAAAACACATACCTATTAAGGAAAAAAGGAATTGGGGGGGGTAGAAGAGGTTGTGAGGCTGAGTCTATTTATCGGTAATATGCCACCCAAATCAATACTTTAATTCCTCTTTCATTATTCAATTTCCCTCAAAGGTTTTACATATGCATGCTCCTGCAGGAGTAATCGGTCCGCGGCCAATTTCCTGTCTCCTATCTTCGTCCCTCGTTCAAACACAACACCAACACTGACCCTAACCCTAAAACTGATCTAAACGTCAATACAACCCGAACCCTAACCCTACCAATGGTTTGTTATCTTTACGAGAACTTAAATCTTTTCTTTAAATCAAATACCCGCATTTTAGGTTCCTTTGCTGTAGAAACGAAACAGTTGGGCCAAATTGCCCGACAACCGAGCCACCAACAACTCCGCCTACGACGTTGTCGACGGTGATTGACACATCATCACCCCCCACCAGCAAACCAACAACTGCTCCGACCACAGGTAAAAAATCTTTACAAACTTACATCGAATTGGTCTTAAAATCAATTTTTCCCATTGATATCACATTTATTGACTTGAGTGTGTACGCATGATATTAGAAATTTAGTTTCAAAGTAAAGGAATCCGTGTTTGATACGTTCGAAGGAGAGAGCCCAGTTTAAAACAGGGGGACTTTGGTTGAATCAATAATAATGTAATCTATTGAAGGCAGTGGTGTTACAGAAGGATTAGATATGAACATTTAAAGATGCGAAATCGTTCTAATTGAAGGTCCAATAATATACACAAGCATTTTAAAATCGAAATTGCGTAATGAATAATTACGTAATATATTTCAGTAGGTGAAAAGGCAAGGGTCGGCTCCATATAAGGCCGGGGTAATGATATGATTGCAGGGCCCTCAGGGAGAAGAGTATGTATACTGATGAGGCTATATAACCTGGGTAAAGTATTATATTATTATAAGTATAGTATTATAAGTATTATTAGTATTATTAGTATTATTATTATTATTAGTAGTAGTAGTATTATTATTATTATTAGTAGTAGTAGTAGTAGTATTAGTATTATTATTATTATTATTAATAGTAGTAGTAGTAGTAGTATTAGTATTAGTATTATTAGTATTATTAGTATTGTTATTATTATTATTATTATTATTATTATTATTATTATTATTATTATTATTGTTGTTATTATTATTATTATTATTATTATTATTATTATTATTATTGTTATTGTTATTGTTATTATTATTATTATTATGTTAATTGGCTCCGAATTGAGGCAATCTCAAACATACGCTTTACGTGTCTAACTTCATTCTCCAGGAAATGGATGTGGGAAATGTAACTGCTATGCTACTTCTCGATCTTTTTTTCGCCTTCCACACCGTTATTAAACCTAACTATTACAAAAAAATATTCTTATGTCAGGCTCTCGGCATTAAAGGTCAAATCCTAAAAGATTGTTCAGATCATACCCGTCATGTCATTCCATTAATGAACGCATTGTTTTTAAAATCCCTTTCCTTTGATTTCATTGTGTCCACGGCTCTGCTCCACAGTACATTATTAGTTTTGATAAATCATTCAATTCCGTCCAGATCTTCACGCTCTCTAAACTCCGGATTTCCTGTTCTTCCAATAAGCTCAATACTAATTGAGGGAATGAACCTATGCTCCTGCAGGGCCTTCGCTGTGGAAGTGTTTACAAATAATTGTAAAACCTTTCTGTTTAATTCGGCATATTTAACAGTTGCTCTGCAATTTGTGTAGGTTCTATCTTACTTCTGCTCCTTTGTTTATCATGCAGATGCTTTTATGTGATCTCGTTTTTTGTTTGTCTTTCACATGTGTGCCTTGAGCATTTGATTTCAAGTGGAAAGATTACAACGCCATATGAATCTCATTTATTATTATTATTATTATTATTATAGATATCCTATATGTATGATTACTTATTAACAACATTCACCTGTTCTTTCTTTTCAAGTCGCTTCATCCACTACGGCCCCAGCCAGTGGTACATGCGGCCCTGTAGCGAGACAAGAACCGACGACGATCAGTTACAACAACTGTACCACAACTGAACCAGTCTTTATGATGGAATGTTCTGGGAAGTGTTCATCTTACTACGGTGTCGGCAAGGTAAGCATTTCCAACACCAGGCGAAAGATTATGGCGATAGACACCATGTGATGATAGAAAATGATGGTTGATTAAAATATACATTATCATAATTTATAGGCCTACACGGTACGTTTTTCTTCAGGGGCGTTTCATGCAAATCTGAGATACACGGCCCTACGTTTTATCAGTGTCTGTGATAATTATGGTGTAATATTGAAACCCTAAAAAAATTGCGCTCCAAAATGATCAAGAAGTGCCTCAAAAAAGTAAAAAACTTTGAGTGACTGGTTTTGCCATACTCATTTTCCCCAATAGACTGTAGTGATAGCCAAACAGTTTTCAAAATTTGTAATTCCAATCATAAATATTTTGATAATCAGACAGGCGATCGGCTGGTAAAAATCATGGGGTTCCTGATTATCATTGCAGCATGAGCTAAATCCAGGACTTTGTTTCAGGATCAGAGACAAAGTTACCGGATCCCTTTAAGAAATGTCAATGAGTTAATGGCCAGTAAGCCCATGATTTTAAAAAAAAAAAACTTTTGTGATCACCTTTTTCAGATCGTGGACGGTGTAATGACGCCGGTGGAGTACTGTTCGTGTTGTAAGCCATCGGAAATGAGGGAAGACCAAATCGAACTCTCCTGCCCCGACTTGTCGGCCTTGGTCATCTCTGTACCCGTCATCACCTCCTGTTCGTGTCACCAAGTCGATTGCCAGAATCTATAATAAGACTACCACCACCACGACCACAAAGTCAATGTCGATCTCGTCGTAACACACTGGTTCCTCTCAAAAGTAGTCTATAATCATTGTCTTATTTTTAATTAAATGTTAAATATCCAAAGTATTATTTAAGAAAATCTATTCTAAGAGTAGTGGTGAAGCTTGGGGAGGGCTCAAGGGGAATTAAGTTCCCCACATCGAATCAACCTCCTCCCCCCCCCCCCCCAAAAAAGGGGGGGGCAGTAAAGAATACGAAATGAAGAAGGGAGAAAAGATTGATGATGGGATCCCTTCCCGCACCCTACCCTTTATCCCTTTATCAGTGGCTTTTTTAATTCGCCAAAGTTAAGTTACCGAGTGAGGAACCATGCTACATCACTGCCAATGGGTATTGTTAGCGTTCCCGTAAAATTACCCCTCAATCTTTCGTGATAAAAAACAATGTCAAGCTAAGCATTTCATGGAATAAGTCCATATTGTTGAAAATGAGCAGTTATTTCCCCTACCATTGTGAGAAAAGAATTCTCACTAATATGATTAAAAAACACCTTTTTTTTTCGTTTTTCAAATCATTTTGCAATTCTATTCCTATAATAAACAGCAATTCTGGAAAAAAAATATTTTAAATGTCTGTATTAAATTCCATTATAATTGCCTCTCTGGATAAAAATAAAATTACAAAAGAAACATGTGATTTCAAGACAGGTTGCTGTTGTTACCATGTGTTGCCCGACGAGGTTTTCTTTGACATGACTTCTTCTGACCATGACACTTGTTAGCGATTCATTCGCTTAGTCTGCTTAGTTACTGCTAGTTTTTAACTGACGTGAACACGTCTTGCTTGATTCTTCTATTTTTCGTGTTCAATGAACAGTGATTTTCTCTGGTTTTCCAGATTTCTTCCAATATCAAAAGGACTAATTCTTTAGAAAAAAATAATTATACGCACCTTACTGGTGATACCATGGACAAAAGAAAATCGAATTCGATAATAATTTTCAGATTTGGTATATGTTTTTGAAACTATATAAGCTGCACACGCAATCGCATCCCATTTGTACAGTGGTTCCGTGCTATGATCAGGAAACAAAAAATGAGGTATTTGTCGGCAGGTGGTCTTTTTGTAAAGGCACCTGAAATAGAAACAAAAACATTCGTGAAGCAGGTTTCACTGTATTGGAAATGATGGTTGCAGATTATCAATGCTTCAGATATTGTTACCAAAGACTTATTTTATCAATGACATAGGCTGAAAAAAATTGAGTTTGAGTGTCTTATGCTATCTTCGTGTAATAATAAAAAACGTGCCTTATGAAATATCATATTTATTTATGTATCGTGTTTAACTATTTATTTTACCGGCTGATTCCAATATGTCTCTTGGTGCAATGGTTACAAATTAAAAAGAAGCTCTTTTTAGTGCTACTAGAACTGCAAAACATCAATTTGGAGAGTGTCATTCTTCATGTGTTTAATGAAGGCAAAGAGTGGAAATAGAGTAACAAAAGTGGTGGTAATTGGTATTATGGTGTCAGGCGTGGTCGCAGCATACAGTGATTGGAAAGGAGAGAGAAACTATTAGAGGACAGAGAGGTGGAAAAGTATTTGACAAAAGAAAGAAAAAGGTGGTGAGAAGGAACGGGAAAAACCTTAATATGATTTAGGACGAAGCATAAGACTGAATGAATACAAAGACGCCCTGGATATGCAGCCAATACAAATTAACCGCATCTACATTTACAGATGAAGGCATATTAAACAGATAGAGAAAAGGAGACGGACAAAATGAGACTAAAAGAGAAAGGAGGGGAGGGTGTGTGTGAGAGAGAGAGAGAGAGAGACAGACAGAGAGCCATATACTGGGGAGTGAAGGTAAGGAAGGATCTTCGGGAGGGAGGATTCAAAACTGACCATTTTCCGCGTATATGTGTGCGTGCGTGTGTGCGTGCGTTTGAGAGAGAGAGAGAGGGAGAGAGGGAGATAGAGAGAGAGAGAGAGGGAGACTGAGAGATAATGAGAAGGGGGGATAGTGGGGGAGAGATATATGTTCAGTCTTAGGGAGATGAGAGACATATGTATTCAACACTGAACAGTTTGTGTGCGTGTGTGTGTGTGAATGTGGGTGTGAGTGAGAGAGGTGAAAGGGAAAGTGAGGGAGAGGGAAGAGAGTATGGAAAGGAATGACATGACGAACGGAAGAGTATTATAAACATATTTATAGAAATGAAAGAACTAATAGCGAGTAAGGATGAATTTCAATAATTCTCGATCAGTCAGTAATGAATTCATGAGATCATTTTTAATTTCATTAAACAGCATTAATATATACACAATGTATTTATATTACATAGTACTTAACTCATGACGATGTGACGTCATATCACTAGAGAGGTAATCAAAACAAAATACATCATAAAAAGGTAGCATACACTACACGTAGTAAACAAAATAAGTATTATACTAAATGAGAAAATATTACTTTTTCAGCTATATTCGCTGGGTAATCATTAATATGTACTTCACAATAATTTAGTATATTCGAATGAAAAAGTACTCAAAAGCTCTTTCATTGGGTAGTATTGATTTTGATAAATAGAAGTTTTACGAACATAAATATATGGCATAAATAACGGGTATATTAGTAGGGTACGGAGGACACATCTACAGAATAGGTCGTATAAAGCATATTTAAACCCAAAACACCTGTATATTTAATCGCTCATTGTCTCAAATTGACATACCGGTACTTCGATTTCTGGAAACGAAAATTGTTGCCAATAGTGAATGATAAGATTCGTACTTTTTTTTAAAGAAGCTGAAATCAATTTTCCTCTCCCCCCCCCCCCCCACCCAAGAGAAAAAGCACAAATAAATAGATAAATAAATGATTTCATGAATAAATGAAATAAAATAAAATATTATGAAACATATAAATGAAGATTAAACAAACTTTGCTTTTACTAGGTCATCTTTCTTGATTGATTTTTCATTTAAGATTTAAGCAACATCTATTTTGCAGAAATATAACATCGCCTTCATTAATTTTATATTCGTAAATTGATCATTACCAGAACATATACGTGTATTTCCCCATGCATAAGGTATAACTTACTTAATATATTACAGCAGCACTGCATATGAAGTTGCTTCCTGTGCTACCAAATGTAGATTGGTATTTATTTATTTATTTATTTATTTCTGATATTTATACAGGATGGCACATATCACCAATTTGGTGGTCTTCCATGAGGCCCTGTTTGGTAATAATAATAACAAATAACAGCATCAAAAACAAAATAGATAAATAAACAAGCATATAAACAGGTAAAATACAAATTAATTGGTATCCCCTTGAAATAACTGATCATTCAAAAATCATCCTTGATCATTTACAAGAAATAGGTGAATGGAATTTTCAAATTAAATACAATTTAAAAAAACGTTCATTTAATAATCTGATAAAGCTTAACGCACGGGATACCAACGTTGTTATATACATATTTACATTCAATTGCTCTTTAACTAATACACTTAGGTTGTTTACAACATAGCTGAAAATGGATACATTACATGTATGAATACATGATATAACGATATCCATGTCAACCAAATTTCATAATTTTGCAAATAGGAAAAAATGGTTACCTTTGCACGAAACCACCAAAAATTTCACTTACACGTCATCTACAGATAACAGGGCTGTTAGAGCGTGTTTAAAACTGTTCAAAGTAGGTGACATTTTGAAAGGACTTTTAATTTGGTTCCATACTCTAATTCCAAAAATTAAAGGACTATTTTTATAAGTGTCCGTCCTAAATTTGGGTATACACAATGCATCCCTTACAGCATGTCTTGTGTTGTGATCATGTAGTGAACTATTAACATGATGTAAATCTTGTGTTAAGTATGTTGGTGCCATGTCATGCATTGATTTATACATCATCACTGCACGTCCAAACTGGAAACGTGTCTGAATAGGCATCCATCCTAAGCGACTAAAGTAATGCAGGTTATAAAGATCGTCATATAATTCATCAAATCTTGATTACCCTTTCACAAGGTTTATACATGGAACTGAAAAGAATGCAAGTAAAATATACTTTTAAAATAAATACAGTGATTTTACTACCCAAAAAATGAAAGTAGCAGAATAAATTGAGTTTAAAGTAGTAAATGGGCAAAGATGGCATGACATACACACTCCGTAACCGACAAAAATATTATTGGAATGGTCAGGATAAACTGTTCGAAAAGTACTGTATATACATGGCTGGTCTTATCTAAGCAAATGCTGAAGTACCTTTTTATTTCTTCACAATTCCGTCATGTAATAATGGCAACAAACATGTGATCGGCTGAGCATCTTCGTCGAGAATTTTTTTGCATTTTATCTCAGCCCAGGACTGAATCATTGCAATACATGGATTGTTTAAAACTTCAACATAATAATAAAAAAGATATGACCAAACAGGTACCAATTTATGTGCTCCATTCTGCGATTTGACTTCGAATATTTTCGACGATTTTTTAAATTCTACTCAAAGCGGACATATCGATATGGATTTTCCGATGTCACTGCAAGGAAAAAGTGCTATTTATAAAATACTTATTTTTTTATTGGATTTCTTTTCAAAAACTCATTTGTCGTGTTGTTGTTGGGTTCAACTATTAGGTTTCAAGATTACTTCTAAATTCCTTTTTTTTCTCTCCTATTTTCAAAGAAAGATTTGAATTTGCATTATTCTGATAGATTATTCGTAGTTGTCTCAAATCATTATCTAGTATAAACAATAATAATTCTTTCTGTGATTTCATTCTTAAACCTTTTGGTTATATACTTATTACCCCTGTGGAAAGCAATGCTACCTCTCTAGATAAAAATATGAATAGACAAAAATAGATAAAATATGTTAGTATTATTTCCATTGTACTAAACGGTTAATTGTAGTGGCGCTGTATTTTCCTCAAAGCATTAAGGTGGAGGGGAATGACGAGACCGCATTTAAAGCTTCCGTTGGCAGTGATTGAATTTTTAACCTATGTAACACAAGCCACATTTTCTTCTTGTTGGACAAATTTCCTCGACCTAACATCTTTGGACCCATCGGGTTAAACACCCACCCTAGCACTGAACTATTTTAATCTTGCACGCATAAACGAACGAGATTAAAACACTTCACGAACTTTTTTTCAGGGGCGTATGGGGCGAATCTTTGAATAACCAAAGAGCATCTCCATTTGATGAACACGGCGCTATCGTAAATTGATGACGTCATTGATCCACTCGACAAGCTCGGTCACACGGGTGTAAAAGTTTGGACTGTAGGGGGCACCGCACTCGGCCCCACCCGAAACGATACCGACGATGTACCATGATCCGTCCTTCTCAACCACCAGCGGGCCACCGGAATCTCCCTGTAACACAAGACGAAAACAGGAACAGGAACATGAAATGGAGATAGGTAACAGATAGAGACAGATACAGAGAAATACAAACAGATGAAAAGAACCAAAAAACAAAAACAACAACAAACAACAGCAAAAACAACAACAAACTTAAAGAGATTACATACGCGATGTGTTTATCAATCGACCGTTACAGCGCCTGTTACAGAAAGCCTACCTTCCGATGTAAAACGACACTTTACTTGTCTCCCTTGAGTGATATTAGTGGTCTTTATATACCGGTTTCACTGTCATACTTACATAACATGGTCCCTGCACTCCAGTCTCGTATCCCACACATATGACCTTTGACACGTCTTCTAGTGTATGTTTTGTCCATCTAACGCACACCTCTGATGGAATGACCGGAAGCCGAGTCTCCATTAAAAGAGTAGATATGGTTCCTACACGTCGGCAAAGAAAGTTTGATTTTAATAATCATCCAAATATTTTATATAAAAATTTCTGTTGTTGCAGGTGTGTGTATGTTTGTTGTGAGTGTGGTGCATTTGAAATATTATTATTTCATCGCGAAATAAACAAGCAAATTACATATGTTTCAAGCCATATTTCAAGTTTGTTTACATCACTTTCGAAACATATTGTTTTTCAAGCGCATCAAGAAAAAACATCTTTAATTAATTCATAAGGGGGGAGTATTCCTTTAAACTTGGTGTTTCAGTGAGCCAAACAAAGTGATTTGTGCCAAATAAATTGTGTCCCCATGGTTTCTTGGTTTATGGGAAGCAGCTAATTCAGATATAATACTGAACTTTTTGATCGTATCCGATTTGTACTTTGTATGCGAAACATTTTGTAAAGCATTTATATGATAGACAGATATTGATAGCTACATGGGGCCACGGAGTCGTCGTCGCCTGATGAAACGGCACAATATGTCGTAGATCTAACGTCAAGAAAAATGGTAGTGGGTGACCTTTTTTCGTGTACTAAGGAGTTACGGAAGTAAACGTGAGGAAAGGAAGATAAAACTCTTCATTACTGACTTATTATTTTCTTTCCTATAATAATAAAAAAAAAAAAATCAACACATTACCTGCGCCGGTTTCACCAAACCCTGTTGATGTCAGATACGTTCCCGGTCCCAGTTCGAAACCGCTGTCCGGCAGGCAAATAGGTCTAACATAGTCCGTCATGGTCAATGGTTCTCTGAGCTTGACCAAGGCGACGTCGTACAGCAAGTAGTACCCGCTGAAGTAGAAGTCGGGGTGTTCGTACACGTCGGCGATATGGACCAGCTGCCCGTGCTCGCCGAACTCGAATCGGTTCGAGACCCCGGTGATGACCACCATTCTACCAATTTGAAATGTACTTCTGCACAGGGGAGATACAAATGTAATTCGAATTCGTTGGTTTATGTAACATGTAGCCTATGCTAGTCCTGGAGGGTGTTCACAAAACTTGTCATCAGTGACAAATGACAGTTGGTATAAGCTACTGAAATCCTTGCTTCTGATTGGTTATCAGTAGGTTTGTCACTGATTTTTGTCATTTGTCATTGAAAAAATGCTTTGTGAAACGGGTCCCAGATGTCATTAACATGATAACTTTTCCTTCCCAAAGACATCACAGTTATTGTCTACCAAAAATCTAACTGTGAACTTTCATGGGTTATCCCGTCAAGGTATACACGCCTCTTAATATTCAACGTTTCAAATGTGTTACACTACAAGGATTAAATCAAATGAAATCACATCATATTTTATTTGGAAGGCGAAATTCGCATTGTCAAAGGTACTTGGATCGTCAACAGATGTTATACAGTTATTGACTGGCAGGGGGTGTAATTTAATATTATTTGGACCGCTGAAGGGAGTTATATTTCCCAAGTGGTTATATTTTCCCGAAGCGCGCAGCGCTGAGGGAAAATATGGTCACGAGGGGAAAGAATGTTATATACCCCCTGCCAGTCAATAACTGTTATATTAGATAGCCTTGTGTGTTTTTTTGTGGGGGGGGGGGGGTCCATATTTTTTTTTTGCCCGAAAATTTTGTTCCCTTTTTTTTCGGGGACAATCAAAATTACGGAAAAATAATCTGTCGAGATAGTTCAAGAAAGAAAAAAAAACCTTACAAAAAATTTTTTTACCCAAAAAAACATTTTTTGGGGAAAAAAAATTTAACCAAAAAAGCATTTTTGGAGAAAAAAAGAAAATGTGGAGAAAAAAAAATTTCAAGGGAAAAAAAAATTCATGAAAAAAAATATATTGAAAAAATAAAATGACCCTCGGTAATGGTGTAATGTGTGTTGTGTAATTGGTGACATACAGTCCTCAAGAGGGCGACATGCATTGATTAAAAATATATTCATTTTACCAGCCGGTAAAATATAACCAACCAGGAAAATATAACCAACCAGGAAAATATAACAATTTGGATCCCCGCAATTGATATCACGTGACGAGCTCTGGACCAATCACATCTCGGTATCTGTCTAAGCTATCTAATATAATCAGATACAGTCTTCCAGAAAATGTTCTTACATCACTTCAAGATGTACATGTAACAAGGTGTTGTCACATTTTAAAGAACACCTTATATAAAATGCATATAGACCAACGGTAACGGTTGCCAGATTTTGTTTTCGAGTGTCTCCCTGCTTTATAAGCATAATGAACTCTAGAAAAATCTGTTGTGATTAACAACTTAAAGATAGAACTTACATGCAGTGAGCCGCAGTTATGATCCACTGGCGGTTGACTATCGCCCCTCCACAACTCACACTCTCAGTATCGTTCTGGGCTGAAAGCAAGAAATGTAAGTGATTTCAAGAGCAGGGCCTACATATATGATAAGTAGGTTTAATGTGATAATAAATATACGTTCTAAAAAGTAAACTCATGGCTTTCACATTTTTAAGCTAACCCTAAACACACCTCATAATGAATTAGGAGAGAAGAAACTACAAAGTCATAAAAATGATTTGTTTTCAAGTTTCTGCCATTGGGCTATACATTAACAGTGAACTTTTACACTGCACTTTATCTATCAAAGATTGACACTCCTAGCACCATAGTGAGAAATAAAAGCATTACTATGGTCATACATGTATGTAGCCAATTCAACACAAAATGCAAAATACATTTACACAATTTGAACATAATTCTGGACAAAATTGTCCATGATGATCTGAACCATATTGGATAGTAAAGAGAATCTGCTGTTTATAACGAAGGTGGTATTTTTGAGCATTCTTTCGCTTAATTGAACCCTACTCACACGCTAAGTATATTTGCCACGGATACTCAGCTGCCGATGTCTCTCTCCCAGCCAGCATCCGACGCCGTCGCAGGCGACCAGGTCGCTTTCCACAAACTGCAATTAAAATAAGTTAACAAAGGACTGTGACTATGCGCCTGCACGCACATCAAAATATTCGATATGCCATGGCCTGATATAAAATGAATCATTCATATGAAAAGTTGCAGATTTCTGTGCTTTACGTGTAAACCATATTGAGTGTCAAACATTTTCATAATTGTTTTGTGTTCAGACGATCCATCTTCCTCAAGGAATCATATTATTAAACATATTTAATGATGTGGTATGGTATAGATACTTTCACTGGATCAAAAGGTCTATATAGTTAGGTTCCTAGCTTACCACATCCTTTGACAAGACGTTAATCTATAAATATAATCTACACATATAATGAATAATGAATAATCACTTGAGCATAACGAGGGGGAACTGTGGAAACAATGATACAGCGATACGAAAATTTACCTGTATAAAGAAAGATTTAGAATTTTTTTTTTACAGTAATAGTTAGACAAAAGTATACCTGGACAATTTTTCTCGTCGTCTCCATGAGGGCAGTCCTCCTTTCCATCACAAACGAAGTAGTCATCTTCGACGAAATTTCGGCAGAGATCTATAGACAAAAGATATCGATACGTTGCATCACTGAGTGACAAAGAATTTACTATACTGAGGAAATAAGGTATTAAATATTTAGATTTGTGGAAGGAAAATTCAGTGTCAACAAAACGTTGAAATCCCAACTAAAACATGATTCAATTAACCCTACAACATAAAAGAATCAAACTGTAGAATAGAATAATCATAATCTATTCATATTTATGTATGAAAACAACAAACACACAAAAACTGCTTTGAAAATGGGTTACAGCCCACGACAGCCCACGAGATGGATATATAAAAGGAGACCGACAATATTGGTCTCATGGGCCTTCTAGCCATACACAGGGAGTTTACTAGACCGACAGACCAACGTTCGATGAGACCGACAGCCTACAAGATGGACACTTTTCTATCTTCTTTCATGGATCGTGTAGGTCTCGTGACCCACTGGTCTCGTGGGGGTTTTCAGAACTTTCTTCTTTTCTATATTTCTAAAAATGTATTTCTTTGTTTTATCGGTCTCTTGGGCTGTTGGTCTTTTGAGATGTCGGTCTAAAGTGGGATGACCCCGGAACTACGATAGTAAACGAAAAAGATACCTGTTGCATTTTCAGTACAGTTCTGCTCATCAGCACTGCCCCTACAATCTCGGATACCATTGCAAACGAAGATATCCGGGATACATTCTCGATCCGGACAGCGAAAAAACCCGTCCTCACAGGCTATGAGATTGTGTGTGTGTGTAAAGAGATGAGCATAAATGAGGTTAAATGAATTTATATTTCATTTGATCAAATTTGACACAAATTTGATTGATGCTAGAATGCCCATGGGTTTACGTGTGTTACCTTAAAACAACTGAAAATGAATTTGAAATATTCAAAACTTCTTAAGTTATTCTCTGAACTGTTTTGTCCGAAAATCGACTTCGACGAGACAACATCCTCAAGCGTTGAACGGGAATGAGGAATGGCAAAAAGGTGCTGTTTTTACAGCCCTCGAGCCAGAGCGTGATTGAACTCGCACTTAGAACAAGGTGGATAGAACAAACAAGTTCCGAACTAGTTAAAATGGGTTTGGACGTATTGGGAACGAGGAAGAACTAGGTAAAGAACGGATTTAAACTGATCCGGACTGGCTCTGACTGCCTGCCCAAATTCACCCGATCCGAACTTGATATTAACTGACTGGACAGGCGAGATGGCACGTATTATAGACCTGAATTTGCCGAAGTTACACATTCTACCCCGACCACAACCCGTTTTACGATTTTCTAGGACAGGGTAGGGCGTTTTTGAAAACTAGTTTGGTGTGATGGGGGCTTAATCTACACCAAAAACGTGGGTAAATCAACTGTTCATTTTATAACACTTGACGACACTTATCACCCATTTGACCCATCGTTATATGATAATGCACGTGCACACTCAAAACATTGAAATACGCATGTCAACTAAGCATCGCAATATACGGAAATTTAAGGAAATGTACACTCAACACATGACAAACACGTAACATGTAACACCTAACACCGATGTGACACACTAGTATGTCGTCACGTACGCTCAATATTCTTTTATTTACTTATCGACATTTATTATTGTATAAATGCGAATAAGTTTCATTTTTTATGTTCTAATATTCCAATAGGTCATTTGATATTTTATGTAAGCATTTTTCATGGTTCGATTGAGATATGGAAATAAAATTATTCTAATTGAAAATTGAATACAACTTCCCAAATTAATAGACTCTTTATATTACAAAAAAGAGCGATTCGTATTATTAATAATGCAGATTTCCGGGCACACACGAATAATCTTTTTCTGAATAATAACATTTTGAAAATTAAAGACTTGTATATTTTTCAGCTTGGACAGTTAATGTACAAGCTCAACACTAAACAATTACCTTTGCCTTTTAATGATATGTTCGTAAGAAATGATTCGATTCATAGTTACCTCACTCGCCAGGCGAGCTCTTTTCATTTACCATTAAATAGAACATCTTTTGCACAAAAGACATTTGTTTTTACAGGTCCAAAACTGTGGAATTCTCTTTCAAATGATATTATACAGTGTAATTCGATACAAATTTTCAAAAGGAGACTTAAAAGCTTTCTTCTGAATAGTTACTATGCTATTGCATTCCTCAATCAAATATAATTTGTAGTGTGACTTTATGCAACTTTGATTATTTCTTTTTATAAACATGTATGTATTTATCAATGTTTTGCGTTTAAAAGTTATTTTTTTTTGTATTACTGAATCAGTTACTGTTATTATTGTTGTTTTTGTTTTGTTTTCTCATAAAATGATAATTCATGATAATTACTTTTACAGGGGGGCTTACACCCTACAAGCTCTGCTTTTTAGTCGGCCCTCCTTCCCTTTCAATTTCATGTTTATTTTTTAATGTATTGTATTGTGCAAATTGATCTATATGTATATAAATATGTGAATATGTTAAAATATACCATCATTGTAAATATGAACGATTGAAAGAGGAAAAAATAAATGAATTGAAATTGAAAAAATTGAAAATACATAACAAAAAGGCATATAACCTAAGGATGTAACGCCGAAGACCAATTGAACTCATCTGTGTCTGTTAAGGTTACACCCAATAGGCCTACGTAAGCGACAGCATTTAAACACATGTACAATGAACACTAACACCTAACACCAATGTGACACACCAGTATGTGGTAACGTACGTTCAGGCTCTACCTGGTCGCAGTCGGGTTCGTCCTCGCCTTCGATACAATCTGCGACGCCGTCACAAATCCATTCAATTGGAATACACTCTCCGTCATCACAGCGAAACTCACAATCTAAACCAGGGAAGAGAATTTTTCAAAATTATACAATCAACTTGCAAATAATTATTGCAAACACTGTATGGCATTATGTATGCGGTAAAATATATTATTGATGAACAGAAAAAAGCAAGTATCTAAATCTTTATTACTTTTATATTTTATTTCAGTAGAACATGTTGCCTACATGTATAAATACAGCCCCCCCCCCTCCCGAAACAAAAATATATGTGAAAGGCGTTTGTTGAGGCATTAGGTATCTGGCCCTTTGTGAAATCAAGAATGTTATTGTCATTATTATTATAATCACTATTATCATAATTATGTTTATTATTATTATAACTTTTCATTTTTATCATGGTTATAATTCAGTAGTAGTAATAGTAGTGGTAGTAGTAGAAATAGTAGTTGTAATAGTAGTAGTAATAGTAGTAGTAGTAGTAGTAGTAGTAGTAGTAGTAGTAGTAGTAGTAGGTAGTAGTAGGTAGTAGTAGTAGTAGTAGTAGTAGTAGTAGTAGTAGTAGTAGTAGTAGTAGTAGTAGTAGTAGTAGACGACCTACCTTCGTCGTCGTCACAATATGCTTCATCGGTTCCATTGATACACTGAGGTATCCCGTCACACGCCAAGCTGGACCGGAGACACTTTCCGTTGTCACACGCAAATTCACCTTCTAAACACTCGGCTGGAGGAGCTACCGAATGAAAATTAGACAGAATGGAGCTCATTAATTGAAGTTCTTTTGGGTGATATAAAGGTTTAATGACTGTTTACACGAGTTTTGTCGTTCCTGTAATCGAACAGATCTGTATACATACGTCAATCTAATGAAGTCTCTGTGTTGTTTTATCTTTTACATTCAGTGTAGCATTTGACAGTCTAAACTACGAAATGGATGTTTATCGATTGCAGACTGAAAATACAACGTTTTATTTTCTTTCCTTGTCGGGGTGGCCCGGTGTGATCTTGCAAAATAGCTCTATTGAATCCCTTGTACATTAGCGAAGCGATTCTAGTTATCTACCGTTGACTAATAATCTTTGGTTAACTATTATGACGAAATCATTTGACTTTACTCAAATGTTAATGGAACGTCGACCGGTATACAATCATTAGAGGGAGCAAAAGAAGCTCATGGTAACCAGGGGCACCTGGGGGAATATCCCCCTGACGATTAGCCAAGATCATACACCTCCTAAAAATAAATAAGAAGCATTACTAATTTTGCTTATCAGGGATTTTCGAGATAAACCATGCTTTAAAAACAAAATCTATCAACAACAAAATCAACAACAACAAAAATCCCCCCAAAAATCCCCTGAGGGTGGTTAATCTCCCGGATAATAATTGTTGATGTACACAAACTTACGACAATCTTGTTCATCATCACCGCCAAAGCATTCTTTTTCACCGTTACATATAAGGTCTTTTGAGAGGCACTGAAACGAGGCACATTGGAAAAGTCGCCCTGGGCACTCTGTAGCAACGGGTAAAAAACAAACAGAAATATACAAATTATCAAATAAATAAATTAATAAATACATAAGTAAATAAATCAATCAATCAATAAGAAATAATCAATACATATGTACGTTAGCAAGTAAATGAGTTAATATACAAACGGCAAATGGACCAACCAATATATAAAAATACACTGGACAAATGAATGAATGAAGTAATAAATACATAAGTAAATTAATCAATTATCAATCAATTAGAAATAATCAATACATAATTACTTAAGTAAGTAAGTAAATAAGTAAATAAACAAACAGCAAATGCACACATCAATAAATAAAAATACACTGGACAAATGAATAAATGAATAAATAAATACATAAGTAAATTAATCAATCAATTAAATTAGAAATAATCAATAAATATTTACGTAAGTAAGTAAATAAGTAAATAAACAAACAGCAAATGGACGAATCAATATATATAAATACACTGAAGTGGTAAACGATGAAGCTCTGTACAGCTCAAACATTCTGGGAAACTGAAGAATTGAGATTTCTAAACCATTTCATAGCACAAAATTACAGTGAAAAAAGAGAGAAATTTTCAACACAAAAAATATTTTTAAAAGCCCCCGTAAACGACTATTGATCATAGCTCTGTAAAATATCGACTGAAGATAAATTTCTTGAAAAGGGGGTTCTGACAGGATATTCCATGAACTCGAACTATCTTCCTCAATGGGCTCAAGAATACTAATTAATGTCAAATAGAATGAAGTGATTGTCATAAACAGGGACATATTGACAAAATGATCATGAAAAAATGAGATTTTATATAGCTTTTATGATATATGATTTTATTTTATAAAAAGAAGACTTACTTGGACAGTTTTGTTCATCGCTGTTATCTGCACACGTAGTATTACCATCACAACGCTCCCAGTACGGAATACATGTACGGTCCCCACATGTAAACTGCCAGCTTTCACATTCTGGGGGGGGGGGGGGAGATAATGATATGAATCTCTCTATTAAAGTTGCAATGGCATCTAACTTATTCAGATTTTAAACACGATTAAAAAGTCCCCAAATGTACAATTATACCACTGGAAATACCAAAATCATTAAGTGTATGTATGAAATTAATTCGTTGTTTTTATAGATGGGATGTTATTTTCGTCTTTGGACCTATATTTAATTTCGCAATCCTAAAGATGTGACTTAGTTTTGAACTGGGGTCTATAATGCTTAAGAGTCAGGTTTTAAACGACAAAGAGCTGAGTGTACCACTGACGGTATTACTATACCAACTCACATCTCTCTGTAGAGAATATCAAACAAGTCTTATGTACTCTTCGAAAAAATATTCTTCACACTTTATTTGTCGTTATATTTAATCTTTTTATTTCTATCACCTCATTTCTTGTGTAAACACATAAGTCGACTTCTGTCGAATTTACACAAAAAGCTTTCAGATATATTTTATTTTACACCTCCTCATCATTATCTTCTCCACATGGTTTGTAGGAAGTTTCCTTTATATAGATCCATAATACTTTTGCTCATGTTATTTTATTACCATTGAATTTGTGATTTTTTATTTTATTTACATCGACAGATACAATCAAATGAACCATGAAACAATTTTCTGACACCGGAGAGCTTTGTTTCTACTCGTAGTAATTGAACAATTAAAACAAAATCGCCGACTTACGACAGTCTGTCTCATCGTCCCCTCCTGGGCAGTGAGGAAACCCGTCACATACATTGTTTTTGTAGATGCACGTTCCATCCGGGCATTGCCATTGATCTTCCTGATCACATGCTATGGATAAGTAGAAGGAGAGAGAGAAAGAGAGAGAGAGATAGAGAGAGAGACAGGGAGAGAGAGAGAGAGAGAGAGAGAGAGAGAGAGACAGGGAGATAGACAGAGAAAGAGAGAGAGAGAGAGAGAGAGAGAAAGGGGGTTAGGGAGAGAAGGACGGATAAATGGATAGACGAACAGAGTAAGAGTGGAAGAGGGATATAAATAGAGAGGGGGGGGGGGAGAAAAAAAGAAAGAAAGACCATGAAGAGATAACAAATGATTAGCAAGATGCAATATGACGAATTACATCAACATGGATTCAACATGGTTAAAGTTATGCATTTAGTTAGAAAACCGACAATATGTTGCTAAAAAATAAATGAGAAAAACGAGAACACTGAGGAAGCTTTTGAAAAAGGCAAAATAACTGTTCTATAGGCGCATGCGGAATTCAAAATATGATTATTCTGTCGTTCTATCTCTCCCATTCGTATCTAGCTATGGCTTTGCAAATAGTTTTGAATCAAACCAAAAGTGAGATTCATCGAAGCTAAGATAACTTACAACAATTTTGCCGCTCGTCCGCAAAGTCCCCACAGTCGTTGAAACCATCGCACATGAATACATCTGTTATGTTCTTCCCATTTGGACAGGTAAAACCTGTAAAAGATAGCAAACATAATCATTCTATATATTGAAGTGAAATGCTCCACAGGGAGTGGAGAATGCGCATATATTGTGAGCGGGTAAGCCTGAATCCGATGACCGGGGGAATAATATGTACTGCGCCTAGAAACAAAGTATTAGGCGCATATAAATATTAGCTTTAACTAAAATTATTATTATATATAATATATATCATTCATTCATTTATTTGTATTCTTTTATTAATTTTTATTTATTCATTCATTTAACGATTAACCTATTGGTCAGTGATTAGTTCAAATAATAATTTCATTGTGTGCGGTCATATGTATGACACGATTACAAAGAATTCATTACACCAATATAGGATTCCACATTTATACTTGTTTGTCAAATAAAAATTGATTCAACCAATGATATCGATTCAGTATTTGATTCTTGTACATTACACCTAACGGATTTCCTAATCTAGCAAATATAATACCTTTTAATGTAACGAATCGTCATGATCAGGTCGAAATAACTTTTTTTACACTGAATGGGAACAAAGATTTTCATTTGTTGAGCTGCAACAATGATGACTGTTCTCAACTTTGACAGAAAATGGGGGAAAATGATTACTACGCATATCGCTATTAACCAGGGATATTCATAACATTATATGTAATTTCATCAAGTGGTAAAAATGTTCATAATCAAATGAGCCCCCGTTTTTTTTTTTAATGTTGCTTCGTTTGGGGGGTAGATAGAGGGATAGAGAGAAAGAGGGAGAATGGGAGGGGGAATAGAGAGTGGGCGTGAAGGAAGGAGCGAGAAAGCAAGAGAGAGAAAGAGAGAGAGAGTAAGATATATATATATATATATATATATACGCACCGCAGTACGCCTCGTCGTCTGAACACCCTTGAGGTCCGTTACATATGTACTGGCGAGAAAGACAACGGCCGTCTGAACACTTGAAGTACGACAGAGGAGGATAGCAATCTGGAATTTGTTGAAGATAATTGAAAAGTAGGCCAAAACAAAGGTAACAATAATACTGAATCCTAATAATTATATATATATTATATGTAACTAGTATTGGTAATAGGGTTTATTTGCACCAACTGCATTCAAATTTTGTTGATACATGCTCAAATAAAGTTCGAATTTCAAGACTTGTGTCTTAATAGTACTGCAGTTGAAACTTGTTGAAAAACACATTATAAATTCAAAGGTACTAATACATCAACGGTAAATAAAATTTATCGCCAGCTCATTTACAAAAAAGAGACTTTTAATTTCAAATTTGTTCGAAAATACTTTTTTTTTGTATATTTATTTTTTATTTTAGTCTGTTAGGTACATATATGTCTTACATTGTATAATTTGGGTTGTCATGTAACCCTGACTTATTTTGTAATTCCTTTTGTTTATGCACAATAAAGGCGATATTGACATAAAATTATAACAAAAAGGAAACACGAAAAGGAAGATGAGAGACGGGCCTACCTACCACAACCTAACTCATCGGTACCACTTGGACACGTTGTATGGCCATCGCACTGATCTGCTTCTGAGTAACACCTGAGGGCGTACCGACAAGGCTCTGTGTCGGGTGGACAATCGAAGTCAACTGAAAGAGGGAGAGAGGAAGAAGGAATTGGTTAACGCACTTGTATATATTGTGCAAGGGAGGGACAGTGTATAACGAAGGGGGTGGTGATGAGGAAGAAAATGCGGAATTAGAAGAGGTGGAAGAACGAAAAGAAAGAAAGAGAAAGGGGAGGGGTGGAGACAGAAAGGGGAAAAAAAAGAGACAGAAATGAGAGAGAGAAAGAGAGAGAGAGACGGGGGAGGGGGAGATAGAGATAGGAGAGAAAGAGAGAGAAGGGGACAGAAAGGGGAGAGAAAGAGAGAGCGAGGGAGAGAGAGATGAGGGAAGGGGAGATAGAAATAGGAGAGAAAGGGAGAGGGGGAGGGGTTACAGAAAGGGAGAGAGATTTTTTAGGGCTTCAATATTACACCATATCAGAGACACTGATAACACGTACGGCCATGCTTCTCAGATTTAACATTATTAAACGATGCCTTTAAAGGGGTAGTTGTCCTGGGGGTAATTGTCTTAGGGGGTAGTTGTCCGGGGGGAGTTGTCCTAGGGGGTAGTTGTTTCGGGGTAGTTGTCCCGGGGGTAGTCGTCCTAGAGAGTGGTTGCCTTGGGGGTTAGTTGTCCTAGGGGGTAGTTGACTGGGTGTGGTTATCCGGGGGTGGATGTCCAGGGGTAGGTGTCCGGATGTAGTGAGATTGGTATATCACGAGAGCGATTACCCATTTCGTTCTTGATGACGGTAATCTGGGCGTCGAAAAGACCACCAATGATCCCATTATAGGACCATCCGCGTATCCACAATCCCGAGCCCGCACTCATCATATCGGGTGGGAGGTCGTAGCCGGTGAATCGGGCGATGAACGTCCCCACGACGTCGGGCTCTCGCTCACTACCGAGATAAAGGTACTCTCCCTCTGTAAGTAGCAATGATAAAGAGAAGCATCTTTTGGATTGCTGACGATACTGAAACCCATTGCCCGGTGCACACGAGGCGTTTTTGTCTTGACGTAGGACTCCGTCAGCGACTGACGCGGTATAATTTGACGCTCCATGTAAGTGTAATATTGAACAAAAAATAATCCATCCTCGCCTTAGATTACTTGCTTATGCCTTGATTTCCTTAACAGGCATGATAAGCGCAGGTACTAATGTAATCAAAATAAGGTCTCGTGTAGAACCGACCGATGTATAAACTGTTTATTTTGCACGTTACGTCAAAACCCACGACAGTCATTGACGCACTCCTGTGTCAGCAAAAGACGCCCCTTGTACCACGGGCATCAATCGGTAATAGATATGTAAATTGCGATATGAACAGAAATAAAATGAATCAATGTCAATTGTTATATGATAATGATATATATAAACATTTTTTGTTTCAACATTTCGTCCTTTAAAACCTTATTTCTTCCTCTCATAAATTATTTCTATATATTTCTTTTTCAAATTGTGAAATGTTACACTTTTTTTTTGATAAACAATGTTGTGTACTTCTTACCGTCTTCGAATCTGAACTCGGAAAATGAGATTTTAATCCTGTTTCCCTCGGGTGCTACGAAGACCCTGCTGATTCCGTTGCCGAGCATGACGAGCTCGGGATAACATGGCGATGTAACATTTATGATGTCGCCTTCTTTAAGGTAGGTATATACTAAACGGATAAAGGAATATTGATAGAGAAAGTGATTTAATGAGGTGAATGTTTCGTACGTTTTATTTTGTAATAGACGTTTCTATGATCAATCACTTAAGTCTGCAACCAAAAAATGGGCCAAGAGCCCAGCCAATCTCCTTCTGCCCGACTATTGTGTTTATTTTTAGATCTTGTTGGCTAAATAGACGTATAAAAAAATAGCAAATCATCCCCGCTTCGATATTCAACCATTTACCGATATGAAATTGATTTCAAATCAATAGATTTTGAATCAGATGATGGATGATTTTGATCACATGAATTGAAGGCAATAATTGTCATTTTAGTGCTCATCAAACTTTTTTGATTAACTCACCGTCTTCTGTTGGAATATCGCACTTTAGGTTTTCTAAAGAGAGAACAGCAAAATAAAAGATCATTTTCATTAGAAATGGACAATGATAACTAATAATTATTATACGGGCAGATACTTATACATAAAAATGTAGAAAATCTAAATTATAACTCGACAAATGGATTTTTATAACTGAACGATGGAAATAAATAACCCTCTTAAATGACATATTTCTTTAGACGAACGTTTTCTGTATTGAATTTTTGTTGTGTTATCTAGCATCAAGAAACATTAAACAAAAATGTACAAGTGGCCTAAATGTAATTTCTTCTCGGCGAATATCGATCTTTTTCTAATTTCCGGTAAACGGAATTGTTGTCAAACTCTAACATTACGTAGGTTATTTCATTACACGTAGGTATATGATTTTCATACTATACATCAAAGAATCCCTTACATGAAGACTTTCGAAAAATCAACCGTATTGGCATGGTGTACATTACCTGATTCCTTTGTGATATACGATTAGGCTTCCTCGTGCTTCAAATACATATTTTAATTTGTTAATGTTATTTCTTGTCTTTATTCACTGCTTCGTTAAAAGAAAAAAAAAGAAAAACCTTGCACGGGTCTCACCTTCGATTTCTTCATCGCGCTGTAAAGAAACTAAAACAGGGGATGAACGAATAAGTAGAATGGTGAGTCGTGTTAGCATGGAATACTTCGGTCGGTCATTGTGGAAGCATTTACTGGTAAGACTAAGAAATTGCTATCTTCTGGTAACAGCTACGTGAATGAATATTAACATGATGATATCCTCAGACACAAACATGATAATCATCAGTAACATCATCTTCCTCATCATCATCTCCTTCTCATTCTTCAAGTGTTTTAGTTTTTTTACATCTTCTTCTTTTTTTTTCTTCCCCTCTTTATCTCACTCACAATTCCTCTAGCTCCTCCTCCTCCTCATCATCACCAACATTATTTCAACTACCATAATAATTATCATCTTCTCCTTTTTGTCTCCCTCACAATTCCTCTAGCTTCACCTCCTCCTCCTCCTCCTCCTCCTCCTCCTCCTCCTCCTCCTCCTCCTCCTCCTCCTCCTCCTCCTCTTCCTCCTCCTCATCACCAAAATTATTTCAACTACCATAATAATTATCATCTTCTCCTTTTTTTCTCCCTCACAATTCCTCTAGCTCCACCTCATCCTCCTCCTCCTCCTTCTCATCACCAACATTATTCCAACTACCATAATTATAATTATCATCTTCTCACCCTTGTACCTACCTTCATGAATGATAAGCGAACTTAAATCCATTTCGATTCCTACTTGGGTTCCTGCACCAGCAGCGTGAAGATGAATCGTCTGTCAAAATAACAACAAGGTCAAAAGCAAGATAATGACGTGTTTTGCTTACATTGGTAGATGGGTTGCTTTGGAAAAGCTTGTATCAATATGAAAATGCTATAATATTTGATGTAGGCTAGTATTTACGTCAATATTCATTTTTCATACAGCACACAACATTTTGTAATGTTATTTAAATTCACAAATGTTTTACCTTCTCTTATACAAAAAAAGGGAATACTTCATTCACCAAGAAGACCTTTTTAGTTCTTCGAAAGGCATTGAACCAAAATCAGAAATAAGGTAATATTTTGACAAATTCTTGAAAAATTACATATCATTGGAAGATAAGCGAGTAAGTAATAACAAACCACTTTCTTATATTTGGGAATATAGACCGCCTGTATGTATGTATTCCTGCACATTTAAACATTCCCAAACATCATTTTTGTTAAATTAAGCTGGTAACCCGAAAAGCAAGTCTGATCTAGAGGCACTTGATAAGTAATCCTTAGACATAACACAAACCATTGAAATAAATGTGAAAGATATTGTGACATAAATTTAACCATTGCCTACTGGAACCGGATGTCTCCTATATAAAAGCATATGACAAGGACGAAAATCAGTACTGAAAGGGTTAAATGTGACACTGAAATACTGAATTTGATTCGAGGATGATTGGAAAGGCTAAATACATTGACGACCCATCTTTTTAGTGACCTATATTTTCTGTAAAATATTTATGTTTTGATTACGGAGGTAGGTATGGTGATGATTCCTTTCTTTAACCGGAGGATTAAAGGAAATCAATGCGCCTATTAACCAGATTGATGATAAATGGGGTCATCTTAAATCCTTCGTCAATCCGTACAATACATCTTTCAATCGATTTATCAAATAAATCATAATTATCATATTCCGGGGACGACACATTTGAACAAATATTGGTTGATTTGAAAGAGAAACCAGAATCCAGACAGCTTGGGTCTAAAGAATAACAATAGTGCTCGCTCGTGAAGAAAATTCGGCCTTTAAATGGAAATCTTTTGAATAACAAGGAGCTGTAATTATATAAACGCAGTAAACTTAAAGTATAAGCCTGTTCAAAGTTACAATTCGGAAATTTTTATTAATTGTTGCTATTAAAATCAGCAGTAGAAGTTATTCCACGTATAAAGGAAATGGACGAGTATGTGTATACCTGAAATAATATATATACATGTGTATATATCCTATTTCTCATGCGATAATCTATTCATGTCTCTGGCGCAGTACACGCTACTGCGCTACGTACAACCTACTATCAAGACCGCCTTGAGGGTGTTCTGACAACTCTTGTTTAAAAGGTTCACTATATGCCCACAGCCCACGGGACCGACATCACGCGAGAACCACAATGTCGGTCTCGTGGGCCTTCTGCTAGTCTTGGGAGGGGGTCTCAAGACAGACGACACAAGAGGCCTATATTTTGTATATCTTCCCCTTTTGGCTTTGTCGGTCTAACAAATTTTGTAAATTATATTGTTTCGTGGGTTTTCGACCACTGGGATATCCTTTACGTACGTACCTTGTTGATAATATGTCTGATGTGTTCTTTGGTTTTGACTCGGTTGTTGGATGTGAATGGAAGAGCAATGAACTTAGGCGGAATGTCTGTCAGGATTATCTTGAACATAACAATCACACTCCCTGACCTGAAATCGAAAGAAGAAAAAAATCAAGAAAAAATCAAAACAAAAGAAGGGAACTCAAAAGAGAATCAAACAGACGTAATACTGGCCTTTCTCTTTACTTTGTATTTTTTTTTCTTCTTCTCTTTATATTTTGATTTAAAGAGCAACATCCACTATCTCACGTTTAGCACACTTTTAGCAAAATTGGCCAACATGAGAGTAAATGATTATGTGTCTGAACAGCTTCTGGGCAATATATTGGTCCAAATTGGACGATTTTTGCTCAATTTGTAGCAAAAGGTGATCGCGTTTGGGCACAGTAATTATTTTCCAAATTGACTCAAAGTTGACAAGATACATTATTGTATATTACAATGTTTGGGAATCAACTCAACCTGAAAAAAGAGATAAAAAATCCTGCCACACCGCACCAAAAAAGGCGGCCATGTTTAGCAACATTTCATTCACCCGATAATGGTATATTCCAACGTATCATTGAATCATTTGTCAGGTTGAGTTGAAGCTCTATCTTGTAGAGGGTTATTTACATGGATGCGTAATTATGTTGGCGAAGCCATCAACCTTTTGTGAATCGCATTTCTTGAAAAATACTATCTTACCGAAAACCATCGACCGTTGTTGCATTATAACTGCTCGCAAGACGACTGTCCATAAAGACTGCATCCATCTATAAATTGAAATGATAAAGGCAATAAGAGCACGGATTATTTTGATGACATGTTAAATGGATTGTATTAAAGAGCAATAGGGAGAGAATCATAAGCAAGAATGGATGAATGCGATTAATGGATCGATATGAGAATTGCATAAAAAGTACAGCACTCTCGTAATGTTGACATTATCATCTACGATTTAGGAGGGGTTAGCTAAAATATGGCGGGTTGTTGTCGGGGCTCGAATGCACTTCTTTTTACTGTAGAATAACAAAAAAAACAGCAACAATGATAATAATAATAATATTAATAATAATGATAATAATAATGATATCAATAACAATATTGATACTGATAATAAAATAATAATGATGATAAAAGTACTATTACTACTACTAATGATAATGAAAATAATGATAACGAAGGATGAGACGAAAAAGAAGAAGAAGAAGAACAATGATGCTGATGACTTGTTATATAGCTTAAGAAAAAACAGGAGATAATTGGTCATAACTCAACCGATAATACACTTTCACAGGGGCATCTTCATTGCAGCTATTATGACGAAATCCAACTGTCTTCTTAGAATCAAGGGCGGCGATTCAGCAGGGGGCGGAGGGGGAATTAACCATCCCGATAATTCTAGATATTAATTAATTATGCATCATATCTGTTTGCACCCCAAATATGAAGATGGCTCGATGACCCCATACCGTGAATGACTTATGGAATGAAGTTCAACACGATGGTTGACTTCTCAGAAATAGTGCAATTTGATCATCATGATCTCATCCAGGGTTTGACAATGTCTGGGGTAGTCCTAGTAATCACCGTGTCTAAACCCATCGCAAGATGAAGAAGCAGCTAAGAGAAATAGAGCATGACTGGCATGATGCATATAGAACCATGGCAGATTGGTTGCGAAGTACAGACTTACCCTCGCCGAGTTTCATCTTACGGACCCCATGTACCAACGTGCTTGGAATATACCAAGAGCGAAGCAAGGCTTTAAAGGTTAGAACGTAATTAGTAAAAAAAAAAAAAGAGGCTTAAATTATTGTGGAAAGCTTTGTATGGTTGGAGAGATATGATTTATATGGGCTGATCATAAATGTTGCTCCGGCGACAATTGCTCCAGGCTTTATTACGCCCAAAGTACAGGGTTAGGGTTAAGCCTTAAGTTGCAATCGGGTTTAAGTTTAGGGATGTAATTGGTTTTAGAGGTTAAGGTTACCTTTAAGCTGAGGTAAAAGGTAAGGGTTAGGGTAGGGGTGTGGTATTGTTGTTTAGTCCAAGCTTGCAGTTTAGAGTTCATTAAGTGTTGGAAATTGACGAGGACTAACATTTCTTTCAGGAACAAGAGGTATGTTTGTAGCTGGCTTTGTATCTGTAGTACACTGTAGTAGTTGTGTTAATTTATGTATTTAAAAGTACTTTTTAAAGATGCTTAATGATGATGCACTCAAACAAGAGAAACTGAAAGATGAATAGGCATCCGTCCTCTGTGAATGATTCGGCAATACTTGATAATTTTGATTTTTTTTTTTTTTTTTAAATTAAAATGATCTACAAATGCCCTTTGGGGTGAAGCTCCCTTTAAAAAGCTATGCCCTGCGACTGACAAAGCGTATTATGGTCATAAAATTCGATGAATACAGGACCGTATACTTTGGCCCCAACCCATCTAGCAAATGTCTCGACGCCCAAGGGAGAGCCGAGATTTGGTGCATAAATCCACTATTTCTGTCCAATGACTATGTGAAAAGAAAAAAAAGAAAATAGAGGATGCCTGGATAAAATGTGCAATGAACATGATGAATTCGAGCGAGCAGCGTTCAGCACATCTTACACAGATCATAAGTCCATGCACAGATCAACTAAAAAGGGGGTATCCCCCACGCCATATAGTCTCGATGGCCGGATGGGGTATATTCATATGAGCCCCCCCCCCCCTTCAACCTGACGTGAGAAATTATGATTGGCAATGTGTGACTGTCTTACCGTTAAAATGAAGGCGGATTCCAACTCTACATACTCGGTTGAAAAGCTCTCATTCAGTTCCGATGTGAAATTTTTATTGACAATCCGTATAGAGCCGAGTGCGGAGACTCTGTCTGTGCAAAAGAGACATCGTAAGAGAATGTATAAAGGTGAAGCTAAATAATTATACAGCATCTTGATATGGTTCGATATAAAAAAAAAATGTTGGATTTCACCTATGAAACGTGACATGAAAAGAATTGGCGATACCAATGATGATGATGGTGGTGGTGGCGATGGTAATGATAATAATGATGATTATAGTAATATAGAGGAAGAAGAAATGGAAATTAAGAGGAAGAAGATGTAGAAAAGAAAGAAGGGGGAAAAAAGAGGAAGAAGAGATAAATATATATATATTTAATATAGTGAGAGGGCGAGCGGGAGAGAGAGATATATATAGACAGAAGGAGACGAACGGACGGACATGGGGGCGTGGAAGGGGAGAGAGAGAGAGAGAGGGGTGGGCGGGTGTAAATAGAGACTGACCAGTTGGGAACTGAAATAATCAGATTTAGAAAATGCAAAACAAATATTTTGATCGCCAGACAATTATGAAATATTATGTCTCGAGGCTTTTCTGATAGCTTTCACATTATATTTTATTTCCTACAGTAGAAGCAATATCACAATACTCCCCCGTATGAAAGGTGATCTTAAGTATATTGACGTAGGCTTATGAATTCTTTTTAAAAGACATACATGCTCAATTAACCTGACAAAGTGATTGCTTTCTAAAAATATTTGTAAATCGTACACACAACCTAAATATTTGAAAGAAGGAAGGTTCGAGACAAAAAAATGTTGATGGGTCTATATTCGGAAAAATCTTTAAGTGTATTTACGTAGGCTTATGAATTCCTTAAAAAGACAAACACGCTCAGTTAACTTGACAAAATTATTCCATTCTAAAAATATTTTAAATCGTACAAACAATCTCAAAATATGAAAAAAGGGAAGGCTTGAGACGAAAAATGTTGATTTGGAGAAAAAAAAACTTTAGCTGAAGAGTTAATAAACAATATTATTGGTGAAAGATCCTACCTTCAAAACGTTTTTCCTTCTTATTAGAATGTTAATTCATTTGGCTAATAGTATATTCATCTGAGACCGGACAAAAAATGTCTTTCAATTGTTGATCTGTTTAGTTCATTAGTTTTGCTCTCATAATTATTTTTATTTTCATCATTTTGATCGCAATTAACTGCTTATTGTCCAGTATTTCGACTTTCTTCTATAGCCATCAAAACCCATAACGGGGTCACTGTTAGTAATATTCTGCAGGTATATTTTAACCATCGGTTCTCCTTCCTTGAACAAGGATATAATTAATGTATTGTAATCGGCGCGTTTGATCCATTGATCCTGTTTAACTACTGTCGTAACCGGACGATTAATTTTACAAGCAATGTAGTTCGGGTTCAATTTTACCGATTTCCGGACCATTTATCTCCATTTCCATAGCGGTCGAAAAAAAAAGGTATCTAAATAATATAAAGCGGAACTGAAATCTAAGCGCACACTTGCAACTACGTATATTATTTTGTCAGACATAAAAATAAGATAGGTAATACGGGAAAGAGCTCTTTGAAACTTGATTTGTAGTAAGTAGACATGAAATTTAAGGTTTTGTTAGAGTTGCGTCAACGCATTATAGGTATTGGATATAGTTCAGAAAAAGATGAATGCATTTTTGCATCGCTTTTCTTTTTCCAACACAGATGGGGGTTCGACAGGGAAAATCCAGAGAGACAGGAGAGTAGAGGAGAGAGAGAGAGAGAGAGAGAGAGAGAGAGAGAGAGAGAGAGCTCTAGAGAAGGATAGAGAAAACAAAGCGAGGGTTAACGGAGAAATGAGAGGGAAGTGGAGAAAGGGAACAAAAACATGCTCAGAACTACTGAGACAGAGAAAAATCCACAGAGAGATACAGAGAAAGCCAGAGATAATAGAAAGCAAAAGAGAGAGAGAGAGAGAGAGAGCTCTAGAGAAGGATAGAGAAAACAAAGCGAGGGTTAACGGAGAAATGAGAGGGAAGTGGAGAAAGGGAACAAAAACATGCTCGGAACTACTGAGACAGAGAAAAATCCACAGAGAGATACAGAGAAAGCCAGAGATATAAGAGAAAAGCAAAAGAGAGAGAGAGAGAGAGAGAGACAAAAAGAAAGAGAGAGCTGGGTTAAAAAAAGAGCGAGGGGAAGCGAAGACATGAGAGGGAAGACGAGCAGAAAATAAATGGATAGGAAGAGTGACCTATAGAAGAAGCGGAGGAGGAAGGGGGAGATGTAAACTGAGAAAACGGAAAATGAGAAGAGAGCAAGTGGTAGACCAATAATACTCACCTATATCGTAATATTCTGAATCTGATGACCTTCCTGCATTTAACCAAACAAAAGAGAAATATAAGATAAAAGAATGTAAGTAGAAACCATCATTAGTTAAAAAAAACCAACAGCAACGTTTAAAACAATAACGAAACAAGAGAAGAACGAAAGTGACAAACTCAGTCCAGCCTACATTATTTTACACAGCCAGGTAACACTGATTATTTTAATCGACTCTATATACTTTGTTTGGTTTTCACCTCTTTGACTCTACATAATACGTATTTTGTATCGTGCAGTAACTGTATCTGTATTTTCCACCTGTATACATATATATCATGGAGTTTCCTGTTTTATTTTCTATATTTTTGTGTTAATTTGCTTAGCTAAAACATATATTGTTTACTTCAAGTTTCTTTTTGTTTAGATGTATAGTTTATGGGGAGAGGTCTACACTATACAAGCTATACGCTTCCCTGTAGACTCCTCCACAATTTCCAATTACTTTGTTATCATCTCAATCTGTTCCTTAATCTCTGTATTTTTTTTCTCAAATCAATGCTACTAGTTGTCATAAACTTGAATAATTTGTTGAATATAAATTGATAAAATGTCTCTCAAGTTGTTTAGTTTTAAAGGAAAAGTTATTACTAGAATCTAAAGGAAATCTTTGTGTTCGTTGATTCACTTAAATGATTAGGGGGATGGAAACAAATATCCTAAGCAAATGAAATAAATATACACATACTTAAAAGCTTCTACATAATTATTTTCCCATTTTGTTTAAATGGCATCACGAGAGCATTATCTTTTAAAAATTGTACTTTAAATACAAATAATGTCCCATTTATTTTCCTTGTTTGTGTGTAGTTGTAGATTTTCACAGGAATCAAATTCCAAAATTGCAATTTTCATTAGAGCACTTAAACTTGTCAGAGCAATGGAATAAATACTTTTTCAAAATACCCTGCTCAACTGATTTCAATTAGAAATATGTGGATTGTGATAATCCCCTCTTTAAAATCCCTAATTAAAATATGATTTCGATTCATGCCGTTGGCGTTTGTGATGTCATTATGACGTTGGCTGTTATATTTTTGAAAGGTCACTTTCAATTTGAATACATGAACGTGCTTGTCGCTTGAAGTGAGTTTATCGAGTATTATGTTCTGAGTAAATCGAATAATTCCCCAAACAACAGCGATCTGTCACCGAATTAAATTATAAAAATGCAATATGAAAGATACACTTGATATCCAGCGCTGAAACTGTATTTTTATGAATTTTGTCTGAAAGTCATTTTTTAGTGTTGATCATGAAGTTTCATGTATCATGGCGTCGTTTGGTCAGGCAAAATTAATTATAATTTTTTTTTAAACACTGCAGTCACTGAATAACTCTATGCAAGACAGAAAGTTGTGACAACAATAAATAATTGGTGGCACGCCCCCTCATTTTCAATCTATATATAGGTTTATTGTATGTCTTGATACATTCATGGAGTATCATTAGGCCCGATTAGTACCTTTGTTAGTACTCTAAACAAAAGTTGAAACCGAATCTTCCTTTGATTTCCAAAATATCGATATGTTTTCCTAAAACTTTCTACTTGATAACATGAATAAACTGCCTCCATGATCATATCAAAAAAAATATTTCAAGTAGTTTAAGCCATATTCGAGGGACTGGCATTGACCGTTAATGGCGGCACAGCCTACTGACCAAGCTGGTGGAAACTAAGAACGCATATACTTTTCTTCCACGGTGTTTTGTTAGTATTAGAGAGCCAGAGTTCTTACTATTCAAAGCTGTATACAGCTAGCTAGATGATCCATAATAAATCAAGACTCGTATAAACATTGTTTACAGTCTTCACAGCCCATCCTAAAATAAAAATGAATTTTGGCGCCACATTAGTATCAGGGCTAATTTGATTTGCCTGGATGATTAATGGCGACCCGAATCCTGAAATAATTACCTATAGATCCTCTCTAATGACTAAACCTATTGACAAAATAATGGTAAGGTTCGACTGTTCAAGAATATTTCTTTTGCAGAAATGAAGGACACTCTATTCATGCCTAATCCATGCCGTGAAATTTGGAAATATTCAACTGCTGCTTGAATCACTGCATGCGCTCAGAAAACATCATAAATCAATGTTTCAATTTTCAATAGAAGTCTCAGACTGTTGCCTGCGAATGAACTAAAAGGAACGCGATTTATCGAGGGTGGCTTAAAGGTGAAAACAAGCTTCTGTGACGATTGAAATTTTACTCCTGCACAGTGCCTCGTCGGACATTTACCTTACTATTTCCATCTTGTACAGGCCAATAATATAAACAAAATTAATAATATATGGGACTTCATGGGGGATAGATCAGGTTTGTGTGTAACTAATTGGCAAAAGACGTGTTGAGAGAGAGTTCTTGTACTTTACTAGCTAGCGCCATTTTTATGCTTGGAATGAGAGGGATAGGCTGCTTTGGACAAAGCAAAAGAAGAAATATTGCTTTGATCATAATGTTCTCTGCTTTTATTTTCGGTTAAGAACTGTTAAGACTAGGACAAAACTAGCTCTCACACTTCAAACAAACTTTTGATCGAACAACGACCATCATCATAATCTTTTTGACTAACTATTCATCATGAAAGATGATTGATGCTGATATTGATGCGAATTCTTTTAGTTTTTTAAAGATTTCGTTCTTTCACTCACGAGCTGCAATTCATTTAATGACATAGGGCTGCGTCAGCAATAATTGACGCGGCCGTTGACGCGACATGTGGAACACTGGAATTGCCCCCAAAGTCAAGACGAACAGTGAAAATCCTTTATTACTGACATATGCACAAATTGCAATTTTGAGCTTGTTTATAGCGTAGGAAAAATGCAATCGAATTGACGCCTCGCTACTGACGGATCGAAATGTCCCCGTTTAGACGCCACCGTAGTGTGGTGGTAAAGAGGGAACTTCCCCATGACCAGTGTGCAACTGCTACAAACCGGTATAACCATGGTAACACAACAAGTGGGTGGAGACTCATGAGATTCCAAGGGGTCGGTATGAATCGGGTGTCTTATAGTTACATTCATTTCTCATATATGTTTTCATAATATTTTATAACGTAAACAGGCGATGGGAATGTAGCATTTCATTATAGTCCTCCTTTTTAATTGTTTGGATTTACTTACTCGGTATTGCGAGGGTGTCTCATAATTATGTTATTCTCTCAAATGAATCGAGACATTTTCCTGCTCGCAAGAATATAAGGCACTTGTATAGGAGAGATTAAGGAGCGAGGGAATTTCAGACTTTTCTTTTCTCCGTCTTAATTGTATGTATAAATAAAAGTGTCACATACATCATTTTTTCTTCACCTCTTCTTATAAAAATTCAGTTCACGGACACATCCGATTCCTTAGAGACGGTTGAATTTTCAATTATCTTAGATTTCTAAAGGGCATCAATCATTCTTTGACTGAAAGAAGGGGTAGTCCAAAAATTGGCACTAAAATTACAATCAAGCAACATACTTTCTTCTTTAAATTTCTCTTTCTCTCTCTCTCTCGATTAAGTGGTAAAACCGTAGCAATGTATATCTTGGAGATTCCAGTGTTACACAAGAAGAGCTCTTTAGGTTTTGCTTCTTTTTGTACCATTTAATCTGATAGGCCTACCACCTTGACCAGCGATACTTTCTTAGGCCTGAATATAAATTTCCATCGAAAATAGTACTGGTATTTGTAAAAAGATGTGTAATAATACCAAGATGAACTGATGATTTAATGACAAGTCGTATAGCTTGTACATCTTGTAATTGATCCACCTATTCACCTTCCCTTCAAAAATATATTCAGTCACATGTATAACACTATCAATACTATTTACATGAATAATGCCATACTTACTTGTATAAATGACTGCGAGGGTGATAGCGACAAGTATGATGACAGTGACGATGATGATGACGACTAGCAAAGGCCATCGTTTACATCTCTTCTTCGATTTCTTCGTCTCCACTCTGTACTCTTCCGTTGCGCTGAAATGGAGAGAACCAGCGAGAGAGAGAGAGAGAAAAAAAGAAAGAAAGAGAGAGGGAAATGAGAGAGAGGAGGGATTGGAGATATATACGTATTGCTCTTACGATAAACGTAATGGATGGAGTCTGTAGACACGATATAACGAAAATGATGATGCTCGATGTTTTCTTTTCCATAAAAAGCATGCATGTAAACTATACTTATACTTGGAAGTAAAGCGGTGTATTCATGGGATTGGAACACGAGCTTCAAGTTTCTACTTTGCTTTGAGCCAGCAACTTTGATACGGATAGATTCCAAAGTTGCGGACAAATAAGTTTAATGCATTTCATTAACGGCCTATCAAAATTTAACAAACAATTGATTTCGTAGAAAGAACTTTACACAAAACTAAAAAGCAATGTTTACATATAGGAATGAGTACAGATAAAACACAGTTTGTGGGTTTCCCATATACCCCCATTTCTAGGTGCGGTGCATATGATATTTAAACAGATTGCGTAAATATACTTTCAGTTGGCTTAGTTCGAATGATCGGGTCATCGCGTCCGGTCGGGTGGTCGCGCTACACGACCTTTCGTGAAACGAAAACGGAAGATCATGCTTTCGTAGATGTGTCGTATATAGGGTTTTCACAGAGTGTCAGGTAAATTGGACTAGACCACTTGTAGATAAGAGGGGTTTATTTTACTACCTTAACCCCCGACATTTCGTTAATAAAAGGTCATGTATGTTTTCACAAAAGGTCGGGTAACTCAACCACCCGACCCGACGCGATGACCCGATGAATCGAAGTAAGCCCTTTCAGTTTGATCATTCAAAAACTACACAATGCACATGGATTCTTATGTACTACCATAGAGCTATAATATAGCTCCATGGTACTACATAATCAACGTTTCCCAATTATTTTTTCCAGAAAGTTTTTTTCTTCTCATTATGTTACTGCATGACCAGTACAAACATGATTTTTGAAACTGATTAATCGTTCACAGTTCACAGTGAGATTTTATTCTCGATAAACGGTGATAGTTCGACAAACTCCTTCATGTGTCACGCTAATTGAGCCCCCGATGTCACAATATTACCATTATGAATACCGACCCATATCTCTGAAATAACCCTGTCACTCAACATGCAGGCAGCAGCATACCGCGGGCCAAGCACCGAAATAGCACTGGTATCATTGTGGGGGGGGGGGGGGCACCGGCTTTACTATATTCAGTAGCATAAAATGTACTTACGAGGTCACCGATTAACGGGTTTACAAATTAATGTAGGACGGAATCCTCTCATCTGTTTCTACTTTCATTTCTCCCACTCTTTATTTCTTCCTTCTTTACTCCAATATTAACAACCCCATTTCCCTCCATTAAAAAAGATCCGCCATTTGATTGGGGGTACGTGTCCCCTGTGCCTCCCCCCCCCCGCAACCGTATCAGAGCATGCACAAAACAATCCTGACTCGCATGGTGATAATTTGATCGCAAAGAATGTTGCCGCGTTCTCATTCAGCCGCCCAGTCTAAAAATTTATATTTATGAATTCAATTCGCATTTACGCTACAATGAGAAATTCCACCCCTTTTCCCGAAAAAGTGCAACCGATGGCATTCAGCTGACTGACTCCCGCAATACACGTTTTGCTAATCCAAAAAGTCAATAAGAATAATTTTTCTTTTCCTAAAATATTCGTCTAAAATTCCTGATGTAGCTTTTCGTAGAGATCGTCTGGTTCATCACGTATTTTAGTTCAAGTCGACCCGTCTGTTTTGCTAATCCAAAAAGTCAATAAGAATAATGTTTCTGTTGCTGAAGTATTCGGATAAAATTTTTGATGCAGCTTTTCGTAGAGATCGTCTGGTTCATCACGCTTTTAGTTTAAGTGAATAGTATCCTGCTGATTCCATCTTATTCTACCTTTAATGTCTCTCATTCAGTATTTCAGGCTCTATAACCGCTGCATTTATCCAGCTGGGTTGTATCTTTACGTTGGGAATTGATGATGATTCGATGTGAGCTAACACGCTACGATTCTTGACACCCCCGATAAACAGAGGCAAATCCAGACCCTTAACAAAGGGGGATGGGGACTCCTAAAAGTCTTTGCCTAGCTAAATAAAAAAGTTTATCAAAATTCGAGAAGCAAATGTGTTTAAGTACTTAAGGTGTAATAGGTTGTTCTTTAAAAACAACAACAATTAACTAAGGAGGTACGTTTCTTATATGCCCCTGGATCCACCAACGCACAAAATATTTCACACTAGCTGCATGGACTGCGAGGTGAGATGAAATTTCATCACCCATACAATGAAAAGGACCAACAAAACATACCAGCATAAGAACAGTCTGCATAGTAACTGCCAATGAACTTAAAGCCCCTTGAGAAGTTCAGAAGCTCCACTCTGATTACAGCACACATAAATACGAAGAAAATCCTTCGAAATGTCCGCTCGCGGTTCAGTTTAGCAAAGGTGAAATAAGGTTGAAGGGAGGTTGACGGGTTAAACCGCGGCAGAAAAAGATGATGGCAAAATACCAAATTGAGCCTTACCTCAGTCAGTACCTTATATTATATGTTCCCCTTTGCGTATATGTACAAGAAAAACTTTTCTCTCTGGAATGCACATTTTTATTCGATTCGTCATAAAGTAAACTACCCCCCCCCCTCCCCATTTCTATCCAATCGACTAACGACCCCACCCCTGTGAATGCTGTGTTTATTAAAAAGACATTTGAACTTTCAAGTGAATCCCTCACCGTCATCTTAATTTGTTTACCTGTTCGTGTACTATTCAGTTCAGTTCAGTTCATTTTATTCAAAACCATACAAAGCATGATATAATCTGTTACATAAAAAAGAGACTGGTAATAGTACATCAATCAACATATTCTAACTTGATTACATCATAAACTGAATGGTTTTAGGACCCCTTTAGAAGCTAAGCTTGTGAGCGGGGCCCTATAACAAAATACATACATTTACAGTAAAAAGAATGTTACGTATGATTATACAATGGATGAAAATACTAAGCTACAGAATATAGAACATACAAATACTCTCACACACACACACACACAGACACCACACACGCACATCACCATACACAGCAAACACACTGACGTGTAGGTCCTTAGTGGTCATAAAAGCATTTCAGAATGAGAAATTACTAAGATGCGAATAAAAACTATGTCAGTCTTTCAAGCAGGTACGTTTTAGATGAACTTCTAAACCTAGAAAGAGTTGTACTATTTTTTATATCATCAGGCAGACTGTTCCATTCTTTAATGCAAGAGATATGGAAAGAGGTCAGAGTGACATTTGTTCTTGCAAAAGGCTGTCGAATAAGACACCTTTGACGTGTATTATAATTATGAATTTGCGAGTTCTGACGGAATAAATCTTTTAACGTACATTCATGAGGCATAGACTTAAGATTAAACATAAACAATATGCAATTGAACGACACAAGTCCACTTAGTGGTAACGTTCTTAGTCGAAGGAACAATGGAGAACTTGGATGTCTATAATAAGAATTAGTAATAAGCCGTATTGCTTTCTTCTGCCATACTCTCAACTTATCAAGATATGACTTAAAGGTGTTTCCCCAAGCAACATTACAATATGTCAAATAAGGAAGAATAATACTATTATATAATGTTATCAGCACTCTTTCAGGTAAAATAAATTTTAATCTAAAAATGACACCTACACTACGGGACAACTTTGTGCATACAGCATCTAAATGATTTCTCCAAGATAAATGCTCATCCATGGTTAGCCCTAAGAACTGAACATTTTCACTATTAGCTTCAGTGGTCCAACAACTTTGGGTGTAGGCATCGAATGGTCGGTTGTGCTTTGACAACTTTAAAGAGGGACGGTTATATCTGTCTATTCTACTCTCGTCATTCCCCGTTCACTCTCTTTTCGATTTGCTCAATTTGATTTCTATCTCATCTTATCTTCCTCTCTGTTGCTTTCCATTCGTTTCTGTCTCTTTGCTACTTACTCACCTGCTCTTTCTCTTTCTATATAATCTGCCATTTACACTTTTACAATCTCACTCCCTCCTTCCCCCTCTCCCTCTCTCTCCCTCCCCTTCCTCTCTTTTTCTTTCTCTCTCACTCTCTCTCTCTCCCTCAGCATGTCCTTCTATCCATATTTCTATGATATCTGTGACATTCTCTGAATCATTCTACCTCCCCTCTCCATTTTCCTCGAGCATTAAGATCAATAGAACGTGTTAAATATAAAGGCAATATCATACTAGGGCTCCGCGTGTGAGAAAGTCATAAAATCAATTGGAGCAGAACGTCATCGAAATTGCAACAGTGATACATTCCTTTAAAATCATGTATAATATCAAATTGTGCAAATGCCTGTGCCATACCTTGCATTGTTTAGTTGTGTTGTATATGGCTACCATAACTTCTGTTGAGTTTGAAAAGCTACCTAATCCTCTCTTGATTGAGTTCTTCATATCGGTTTGATCTTGAGCCGTCTCCCACAAAGCATTGGAAGGTCCACAATCAACAAAACAAAAAGACATTCAATACGGGTAATTTGATTAGCCCCGCGGTGGAATAAATATTTGACCAAAAATGATTTCGTCAAAGGCTTCAAACAACGAGATGAAATTATATCGAAATATATACGTACCCCACCACTTTTAGAAACCAAAAATGCAAACGTTAAATTCAGTCCAATAACAATTGGGGTAATTTACCCGTTCAGTAGGCATATCAATATTTGATTTGACTTGATAAGATAAATTGTCTAACTTTTTTTAGAGTGAAGTACTGTGTTGCTGTTACATATATTAAACATTACCCCCTTATTTTGGTCTTTGATACATTTCGGCGTTTCGTAACCGTGTGAATCAAACCTGAGCGTAGTTCTTTTTCTTTTCTGTCCGTTGGGTGTGAAAGGGAGTTGGTCTAAATGGTCGGCTCTCTGGATTTCTCGAATGGTATCAGGGGAGATAATTATGAGAGGCCCCGCACACCGTACAACCCGATTCAAACTAAGTTTTGAACACGAAATGTCGCGATAGGACCATACATTGATTTCCAGTACTGTCAGTGGTATCTAACCGAGGACCTATATGGTAATATGAAAATATACATTAAAAAAATAAACTAGTACCGTTCTACACCTTCCAATATATCCAATTGAAGAAGTCAAAGCGACTACCAGTCGGTGGTCAGTCGTGCGACCGTGTACGATGTCTCTACGAGTGGCAGCCGATCGGGCCTTTTTTCCGACTGGAAGGCTCGCAACAACATGCATTTTTGAAATAATAATTCTTCTTAGATATATTTCCGTATACCACATGGAGCCATGCACGAATACAAAGCATTCACACATTTGAAACTCTGTATCTAATTCTATTGCAATTTCTTTCAAAATGAGGTGCATACGTGTGCATACGTATATTACACACAACAAATTATCTGATTGAGCTACCGCAAACTAAGTTTAATAAATATCAATGTACAATCTCTGAAAACGTCCTTGCAGTTCATAAACGTCTCAATAGATTACCTATTCAAGTGAACATGAACTGAATCGGGACACCTTCTACATGTGCTCGCAACCATTCGCGCAGCGTGGGTTCAGACAATGAGACGACGCCCGTATCTCGATAAGGGGGTGGGGTGGGAAAGGGGGGGGCGGTAGTGGTCTTACTCGATTGATAACGTGCACACTTACAAGGCCATTGTTAGAGGTTTGGCGAAAAAAAGGGGGGATGTAGTGTCTTCTTTTCACGTTTCTTTTCCAATCTGACTTGATACGACTCCCCCCCCCTCCCCCTCACCATTTGAAACAGGGGAAAGTGCCCCCTGACCAACCCCTATATATATGCGCAACTGTTCAAAGCTTTCCACAGTCAACAGAGTTTCACGGCTGGTCGTGACTTTAGCGGGGACGAGACCAAAACATGGGGCTCACAATGTGTTATGATGAGGACGTCGTACGGAAGACGTTGTATCAAAATGTACATCCTGTATGCCTTTAGACTGCGACATAAAATCAGCTCTGACATTTACAGAAAAAAAAGTCGATAACTCCATTGATTTATGACTAGAGCAAGCCACGCGTGAGCTGTTAAATCAAGTGGGTTATTTTTTAATCGAAAAACGGCTGTTCATTCAAACACCTCCCCAACGTCTAGCAACACTGCATCTAAATGTACATCCCAATGCAGCCTGTATGGGAAATGCATGATTCCTTGCTACTGTGTATGTTTAAAGATAAGCTTGAGTTCTGGTAAACAAAGAGAAAATAAATTCTCACAAAATCCAACAAACCTTACACTAAATGTTCAAGAATTACAAATAAATGACATCCGCCGAACGATGTTGGTTAACATGTATAAGGCCTTATACCAGGGATTTACGAGGAATCATTAAATGAACTATGATTTTAGATTTTTAAGCTAACGCCTCATAACTCGATCGAGTTATGAGGCATAAGCTTAAAACCTAAAACCCTTTTTCAAATGTATTTGCCAGAACATTGTACAGTTCATTGACACTGTTATGAAACTGATCCTAACATTTAAAACAAATTCCTTGACGAAACCATGGTTCATTTCATGATTCCTCATAAATCCTTGTCCTTCCAGTAACCGCTGAGGGAAGCGATGGTGAATTCCAGGTAATCATTTGTATGATCGATTTCGGTCAGATTAAAGAAGTCTATCCTAACATTAAATTGGTTTTAAGAGAAGTAGAAAAATGAGAGTAACTTGTCAGTGGAAGTTTAAGCAAAATCCGATTAAAAATAAGAAAGTTAAACATATTTTGTTGAAGTTGCGATCAATCAAACACAAATTGGCAAATCTGTGACGTATCTTGTGAGCTTCCCTCCCGTTTGATCTGCAATGATTTAACAAAAATATATAGAAACGTTTATTTTCCCTGAAGAAAATTTCCAGACATACAGGCACCCTAAATATGATTGTTGCAAACTAGTTTTTTTTGTATAAAACAAATCTATTCCGTCTTCAATAACTAAGAAAATGAAAGTGTATGCAATTTCTGTACAGAGCAAATGGGAAGGGAGCTCGCAATATACGTCACAGAGTTGCCAATTTGTGTTTGATTGATCGCAACTTCAAAAAAATATATAACTTTCTTCGTAACTTCAAATATTCATAACTTTCTCCCTTTATTAAAACCAACTTGATATCATGGTTGACTTCCCCTTTGATAGTTATGTTTTATGAACCACGAACATTTCTCATCATATTAAGAAAAATTGCGGAAGCATGACATTTCTGAGAAAGACTTGATGACGGATATTCAAGATCGAAACTCAGATGTGAAACATTAATTTGGAGTCTATGGAAAAATGGTAATTCTATCACCACTCGCGGAGTACAGTTATTGAGTCGTTTACACCGAGATAGGGGATTAAGGAAAGAGGATAATTATTTCATTACTCGCATTTACATCAATACAAATATTATACTTGAAGTTTCTGCTGACTACAAGTGTTATGGTTTATCGAGAATAAACAAATAACATGCGGAGAGCACATGAAAATATAAATCTTCAATTTGGTGGGTGGTAACATCTAATTAGTCGGTATACTAAAGCTTTTTATCTCCTATCATATTCATTTACGTGAAGTTTCTTTCTCTCCTCCCCCTCTTTCTCAGAGAGAGAGAGAGACGCACACCCCACGCACGTGCATGCCAACATTTATTTAGTCTCTTTTTATCTCTCACACTTCCATCTCTATATCTCTCTTTCTTTCTTTTGTTTCTCTCTCATACACACAATCGCACATACACACGCACGTACCCTCTCTCACACACACGCGCCAATTCTATGCCTTTCTATCTCTCCTACACTGCCAGGTCCCAATCTCCTCTCTCTCTCTCTCTCCCCCCCCCCTCCCTCTATTCCCCTCTCACCATCCTTTAGGGTCTTGCCTCTCACGGATTCGCTCTACTCCATTCGGTAGGGAAATGTTCGAGGAAACCTTGGCTATAAAGGTAATTAGTCTTGCAATTAGTGGACTTTGATGAACATAGCTTACGTCAGAATCGGACTGGAATGATCTCACCGACTACATTAATTTTTAGAGAAGTCCGGCATGTTATTATTTCCTTTTTTTCGATTCGATTGGTTGGATTGAGGCCTTCAAAATTACTCTTTGATGGAGAAGAAGTACGTGACTGTATTTCGCCATGCCTACTGGAGAGTGAAAGCCGAAGAAAGTATGCAATAAAGATAATACCGGTATTAACAGATCCAGGATGAAGGGTCCCTGGGAGAGGGCGTACCACCGGCGCAACCCGTTATGGTCGTCAAATACTGTACTTAAATATTGTGCCCCTCGATAAAACAAAGCGTATACGGACATCAACCCCTAGACATCCACCCCGGATAACCACCCCAGTCAACTACCCCCCGGGACAACTACCCCCAAACACTACACCCTAGGACAACTAACCCCTAGGACAACTACCCCTAGGAAAGTTGTCCGGTGGTAGTTGTCTTTGAGGATGGTTGTCGTTGGGATTAGTTGCCTGGGAATAGTTGTCCGGGGGTAGTCGTCCGGGGGTAGTTGTCAGGGGGGTAGTTGTCCGGGGGTAGTTGTCCGGAAGTAGTTGTCTGGGGGGTATCTATCCGGGGGGAGTTGTCCGGGAGATAGACCCTCTAGAGGTGGTTGCCCTAGGGGGTAGTTTGTCCTAGGGGGTAGGTGTCCTAGATGCACCCCCACCCCCCCCCCTCACCCCCTCAAAAAAAAAAAAAAAACACACACACCCACCCACACACACAAGCACCCACACACAAAAAAGAAGAAAAAAGGAACAAGAAATCGCAGTTTGTGTCTCTCCCCCGCTAGAGAATCTTGGACCCGTCACTGATACTGACTAAATAACTTAGTTCAAGCATGACAACCACAAGTCTATCCCATCTTGCTACAAGCCCTCCACACTCCCACCCACACACACTCACGCACGGGCACACACACGCTATACCTCACCCACAATAATAATAAATACACATTAGAAATGTGCACAGTAAGAATACCGCAGTTACATCATAACCTTGATGGAATAATGAATATTCATTATTTCCATCAAGAAGGTATCCATCAAAAACCTTTATTGATGGGAACTCTTTTTTTGCAGAACTTAAAGAGTATTCCATTGGCATGACCTTTGGATGAATATTGAAAAGGCTAACTGAAAAAACACATTCATAGACACGTTCTAACGTTATTTCTAAAATCGTCTGCTCAAAGCTAGAACGGTACAAACCAATTTAATTTAACACAATACGGAGATAACACCCTTCTGACTGTCAACTAACGTACCACTTCTTCTGATAATAACTTAATGATATACAGGGTCAAAATAAAATGTCTAGAATTGATTTGATTCCAGCAATACTTTGATCTTTTCAGTGCACAAAAGGTCATTCAATATACTGCGTGAAATCGGATTAAGCACGACAGACTTACCAGTGATTGTATTCCTTCATGGTGGTTGGCCTCTCAAATAAATTAAATCTGCTTGACTTTATCCTAGAGGGCTAAATCCTAATGGCACGACGATGACAAGAAGGGGGAAGAGAAAAAACACCCGGAAAAAACCTCGCTCTTATTTATTGTCCGGGCCGAGGGAAAAAAAATCCAGATTGCCAAATAACGCTCTTGGTTTTTACGAACAGGGAGCGGTGTCCGCTCAGTTGTGTAGCTCACAGACAAATGACGAGCGCTAGAAATCAAACACCATATTTATGTCCAAAGGGAAATATAAGGCCTTTCTTTTTTCTCTGATGCCCACCTACCTTTCTCTCTGTCTCTCTCTCTCTCTCTCTCTCTCTCCACCCCTTTCTGCCTCTGTCTCTACACACACACATATCTTACTCTCTTTCTCTGTCTCTGTCTCTCTCTCTCTCTGCCCACACTCGATATATTTTCTGTTTATCTTCCGTTACGGCTCTGAGCTTTTCATATAAATTATGTATTAGCATAACATTGTCTATGATTACATCTACCAATCATACTGCTGTAAGCTTTGTGGATAAATATTTCTTGGTAATCAAAAAGTCATCTTGCGAAGGGAGCTATACAAATGTTAAAAAGACCAATTATCGTTTGTACCACTCATAATATTTCCTGATATCAGGATTATTGTCGAAATGATTTCCTACTTCTGTATAAGACAAGAGAGAGAGAGAGAGAGAGAGAGAGAGAGAGAGAGAGAGAGAGAGATGGGGAAAAGGGAGGGGGGGTGTAGAGTGTTAATCTCAAAGCCATAAGTCTGTATCGTGAGCCCCATGTATCTGTCCGCGCTACTGCTAGTGTTTAAGCTACCTGAAATGAAATTAAAAAAAAGCGACATCGACCGATATGCCTGACGGATTGAGCCGAAGACTTCAATTGAAATATCACTTCCTTGGTGATCACCATTCCATTCTGCTTATAATACAATGCCCCAGCCACACCGACGAGACCACAATGAGACCGAGAACTTACTGAGCAAATATATATGTACCACAGTCACACCTTCTAACCGGTTCCACACCGATTCCAAACCGACCGATTCCTTTGGCCCCTTCGATCTGTTGTCAGTGTGACTAGGCCCTTTGGCTATTAAATTGCCCCGAATGGCTAAGATTTTGTCGGTTTAATATCGGTCGATATGGAGTCTGTTTGGCCATCGGACCGGAGTAGTAGTGGTATAAAATATCGTGTGCAACTCTGCTTGGACGAACACAACAATAATAATAATGAAAGTATTTGGTTATTATTAAATCAATTTTCCCCCCAATTTGTATGGTAACATTTTTAAGGCGAAGGAAAAGTGTGCCAATCTATCTATTTTAGAGCGCAGAGACTTCTAATGATCTTCTTGCGATTGTGTATAAGGTGTGTATTATGATGCTCCTCTAAAAATGGTTTACAACTGGCTAATATTCTTCGATATCCATTAAGAGAATGATATTAACAACGAGACTGAATTAAATCATTTAATTCTACAAATTTAACTGGCGTTAAAATGTTCCGTTACGATGTGTTCCGGAACAACGACTACCCCTTATTCAATATTTAACCTATAAAATCGCTATTGTATTGTTGCTCGATGCTCATAAATTATTGATACTGTGTGGTGTTGACCATAATGCATTTTTCAAGATTCACTCCCCTTGTTTTGAAGAGCGTTTTTTTTTTTTGCTTGCAAAGCGTCGCCTTTAAAAGGGCATTGCCCTGACGTTCTATAGTTTAATACTTGCTTGCAAATCCTGGATAAAGTGGGATAAAAAGGCTGAAAAGGGGAAAAGATATAAACAAAAGAAATAAGAAAGATAACAAGAGGGGGGATATACAGAGAGAAAATAGGAAATGAGAGTGGGGTAGTGTAGGGATATGGGAGAGAGAGAGAGAGAGAAAGAGAGAGAGAGAGAGAGAGAGAAAGAGTAGAGTGTGGGTATTGGTGCGTGATAGAGAGAGAAAGAGAGAAAAGGGGACGGGAAACAGAGCGAGACAGAGGAAAATAGCCTCTATGGAGTTTGTTTGTTCTTGTTTTCGTTTTTATTTCCGATCTAAAAAGCACATACAAAAATGGAATCAAGAAGTAACGGCTGGATATCTTACGGAAGGCAAAATACATGTATGTGTATCAAAATGATTGATCATTAGATATGTAATCTTACCTGACATATGAAATAATGTCACGTGTTACCAGCAACTTGCCTGAAGCTTGATCCGGCATAGCAAGAATAGATACAGGAAAGGTTACACAAACCCTCTTGAGACTCGGATGATATTTCCAGCACAAAGTTTGACGCCACTTTTCCTCCGCAAGCCTTCAGTGTTTAACGTTTCTGTTATTATTACACATTATACATATCGTTATTTCCCTATTTTAGGCGTATGCATAAAATAATGTATGGTTAAAATCAGAGGTTATGATATTGTTTTCGTGCTAAATTGATGTATAATTATGTTTATAAACAGAATATTGATGTACATCAATGAAGTATAAGCCTCGGTCACAAATGCTATTACTAACTGCTACGAACGCCGTACGAACGATTGTCAGACAATGGAAATTCGGGATGACAATGGAAAAACAGGGAGATTCGTACGAAATTATCGTTCGTGAACCTTTGTGACCGCTCCATTAATAAAAAATGTAATACAATACAATACACGTTTGTGTCGTAGCTTTATCCTTCTAGCCTATGTGTGATAGCAAAATATTTTATGCAAAATCAAATATTTCTATTATATTACCTTCAGGTACGTATGTGTGATACGAATTGTCTAAGTCAAACATGTCAAATACTTTTAGAAATGACCGTTTGCTCTTTACAAACACGACTAATCCTCGCTGCATGTAAATACCTCATAATAAATAGACCTTCCCTTTGCGGAACTTTTACAATCTGTTAAAAGGGTTTTTGTTAATGTCAATAATGATATAAGTAACTTAGAATATCATGGAATTCTCTTTGACACGTATTAGATGCTCAATGTACATGTAGATCATCTGCTATTGAAGTACCTAGTATTCTAGAGTTATAGAATTCAGTGTCGCTACCGTTCTTTGTCATATCTTACATAGCAATCCTTCTCATTGCAGTAACGGTAAATTAGTTTCTATCGTAGGCACAGGCGTAATGGTGGGGGGGGGGGGGGGGCTTGGGGTGCGCCAGCCCCCCCCCCCAAATAAAAATTCCATATACAAGTGATGTATAATATTCGTGATATCACATGATTTTCAACAAAATGCGCGTTTCTCCATTCCTGTTGCAAACTGACACGTTCCCAAATGGCCAGGAAGAGTGTCTGTTATAGTCACTAAGGGGCCATGGCCACTAACAGTAACACAAGTAAAAAAAATAAATCCCTTCAAGAGGCAACTGTGACAAGCACTGCCGGGCGTTCCATACTTACATCATGTAACACTGCACATGTACCGTTAAGGGGCCCGATGGGGAAATTGAATTCAGACTATTCAGAAGATTAAGAGTAGTGAACGGTACAACGAATCGTATTCTTGCTCTAATAATTTAATGAAACGTGAAAGCTTCCACGCTTTGCGCGGGATGGGCGAAAATGAATTCAGACAAGGATTAAGAGTCGGAACCGGTTCAATGAATCGTCTTCTTTCTCTAATAATTTTATGAAGTGTCAAAGCTTCCGCGCTTCGCGCGGGAGTGGGGGGGGGGGGGGAACTGAATTCAGACAAGAACACGATACAATGAATCGTCTTCTTTCTCTAATAATTTAATGAATCGTCAAAGCTTCCGCGCTTCGCACGGGATGGGCGAAAATGAAATTCAGACAAGGATTAAGAGTAATAATTTATTGAAACGTCAAAACTGCCGCGCTTTGTGCGGGAGGTGGGGGGGGACTGGATCGAAAAAATAATTAAGAGTCGAGAACGGTACAACGGATCGTCTTCTTTCTATAATAATTTAATGAAGTGTCAAAGTTCCCGCGCTTCGCGGGAGGGGGAGACTGAAAAATAACTAAGTTCCTGGCCCCGGGCTTATAGGATTATTGGTAGACATTTGGACATTGGCATTAATATATTTGTCGGTAATTGGTTGCTCGTTTTGTCGGTAATCGGTAATCTACACCCACCTCACTCCCCCACTGACAAAGATCTAGCGACGCCCCTGATAACGACACAGTAAAATGTTTATACACTCGAGAAAATTTTGGCAAGTACTACTGATGAAGTACCGGACCACCGTCTTTGTGCATTGTGCGGCATCAAAGCACATCGTCTCAAGACGTGACAGATCATTTTTCTCTAACTTCTAACCAATCAGAAGGCCTCGTTTTTTTCAGGAAGTGCCGGTGGACATTAATGCGCCAAATGTGGTTCTCAAATTGCAAAAGATCCCTACTCTTGGAAGGGGTAGGAGAAAGCAGTTTTACGTCATATTACTCCAGGAAGTGCCTGAAAATGCGTCTAATTTGGTTCTAAAATTGCAAATTGCAAGAACCCCCTCCCAGACCCACCCCCGCTTGGTCGCTCCGCTCCCTCGCCGCTAAAGCCTCGTTCTGTCGCTTCATCGTTTTACGTATATTGAACCCCATGCCAGTTTGTGCCCCCCCCCCCCACCGGTAAGAAATTCCTGGATCCGCCACTGATGCCAATACCCCTTGAGCTTCGGGGGCTCCGCCCCTAGACCTCACTTTGCGAAACGTTCAGAGGGGCCTGCATGTTAGAGTGGGGTGCTGCGGATTTTTTGTGTCAGCCCCCCCCCCCTAAACGTTTTTGCTCATTACGCCACTGATCGTAGGTATGTGAAAATAGATGAGGAAGCCCACAAGTACTTTTATTTCATATACATTTACCATTATACTCCACGTTGACGTAGGGTTTTCATAAAGTGTTGGATATATTGGACCAGACTATTTGTAGATTAGAGGGGTTTCATTTTACAAACATTACCCAAGACATTTCGTGAATAAAGGGGTATGTTTTCGCAAAATGAAGGGTAACGAGACCACCCGACCGGACGCCATGACCCAATGGTTCGAAGTAAGCCCCATGCTGATTAAAAAAGTAGCGGCATTATCTTTATCCATTATTCAATGCACATGACTTTAGAAATGATACACAAAGAACGTGACAGGTGCTTGATACGTTTTAAATTCACCTCAGTTTTAAGTGAAAATCGTCGAGATTATTGCGTCGTAAATGGACAATAC